ATTATATTCTTATATTATCTATTTCTAATATATTTAATACTTTTTCTATTTATTATGAAATTATATTTTAGAAATTACTAATAGTTCTATATTAAAACTAAATACTCTTTTTTGTATTTAGAAAATTAGATTATATATTAGTAACATATACTATTTATATTTAAGAATCATAGAAAAGATATATTAGAAGTATTTATTAATAGGAATTAGTAAATTATTAATATTTAATATATTTATTGTATTATAAAGATTAATTAATTTATAAAGATATAAAAATAAATTATTTATAATCTATATTATATTAAAGTAATAGCAAATTAAATATGTTATAATAAATTAATCTAGATTATTAAATAAATACTAAAAATTCTTTGTAAGTATTTTTTGAAATCGATTATTAAATAAGATATTATTAAACAATTATTAAAATTCTATAAACTAATATATAATAGTTTATAACTCTAACTAATAATCTATAAAGAGAATAAGAAACTAAGAAATTAACTATAAAAAACTTATAAAACAAAATAAAATATAACTTTTTATAAAAATAGTCTATTTCTATATAGTTTTAATAATTTATAATAGTATTTCAAACTTATATATAATAAAATTTAAAAGGAATATTAAGATTATTAAATATTTATAAAGTAATAAAATATCTCAAATAATTTTAGTATATATTAATAGAGTAGATATATAGTAATTTAAAACTTTCTAATAGATAGTCTATATTATATATAAAAAAAAGTTTTATAGAAAAAATAAAAGAAAAGGAGAATTGAAGAAAAAGATAGAAGTAAGGAAGTTAGAAAGTAAAAAAATAAAATTATATTTACTAAAGTTTACTACTATATAAATTTTTATTTTAAAATTATTTTAATTTTAAAACTTACTTATATTTTTTATCTTTCTAAATCTTTATTTATAAAAAATATATTAATAATAATAAAAATATTTACAAATTATTTTTAAATTATAAATCTAATTTATTTATAAAGAAATCTATATTAAACTTATTTATAAAAACTTTATAATAGTTAGTAATACTTTCAAATCCTTACTTATGAAAAACATTCTAATAATAATAAAAATATCTATAAATTATTTTTGAATTATAAATCTGGTTTACTTACAAAGAAATCTATATTAAATTTGTTTATAAAAGTTTTATAATAGTTAGTAATACTTTTAAATCCTTATTTACAAAAAATATATTAATAATAATAAAAATATTTATAAATCATTTTTGAATTACAAATCTAGTTTATTTACAAAGAAATCTATATTAAACTTATTTATTAAAATCTTATAATAATTAGTAGTACTACTAATTGTTACAAATATAATAATATTTCTAACAATATTAAGAATACTAAATATATATCTATAATAGATATTAGCTATAATTATTACTATTATATAGAGATTATATTTTATTTATATTTAATAAATAAATCCAAAATCTTTAGAATGTAATTATAAAGTATTTTTATTATTATATTTATTTTAATTAACTACTAAAGTATTATTATAAAATCTAGATATAGAATTAACTATTAATTAATAATATATATATATAAAATCTTAATATTCGGATTTATTAAATTATCGAATTGCTTAAGATTAATATAAGAAATACTTCTAAATTAGAAAATAATATTTATATATTTATTTTTAATATTTTTAATTTTAAATATAATTATATATTTTATATATATACTATTAAATATTATAGCTAATTATTATAATATTATATTAAAGACTATAAAATATATAATATTCTATATAGAATAGAATTAATCTATAATATAATTTAATCAAAAGACTTAGAATATTAATATCTATTAAATAAAAAAACTTAGATCTTAAATATTCTTTATTATTACAATCTTTAGTTTTATATATAAACTTCTAAAAGCATAATAATAACTATATAAAATAAAACTTTATATAATTAACTAATAATTAATAGTAAATAGTATTATAATAACAAAAGGTATTTAAATTAAATATCGAAAATAAGATATATATTAGTAGCAAACTAAAATTATAAAAATTATATAAAAAGTAGAAGTAATTATTTTGAAAAGATTTTGAGATATTAGTAATACTATAAAATAACTATTAATAATTCTATCTATATACTATATAATATAAAGAAATATTACTAACGAAAATAGATCTTTAAATAATTATTAAAAATAAAAAAAAATCTTAAATTAAAGGATTAAAGTATATTAAATTATTTAAAACTAAGATTAAAAGAATTTAATCTTTATTCGATAGATAAAAAATAAATATTCTTCTTTTGTTTTTTATATTTATTAGATTTTTAAAAGATTTAATAAAATCTATTTACTATTAATACTATCTATTCTTACTATCTATTTTAAAATAATTCTTATATTATTTTTATAGTCTTTAACTATTAGTCTTTTAATAAAACTATATAGAAGAGACTCTTTAATTTTCTATTATAGTTAATAGTAATATCTATAACTAACAAAAGTATATATATATTCTTTATTATAGAATTCTTCTATATAGCTAATAATATAAATAGAATAATATTCTTTTTTATAAAGGATAACTATATAATTATTAGTTATATAATTAATATTAAGAATTAATTTTTATTTACTACTAAATACTATTTGAATCATCTACAAATCTATAAGATTCTACTTCTAGATCTTCTATTAAATTAACAAATTGTATATTTGAATCTATATATTTATTACAAATATAAATTTAATTATATATTTAACTATTCTAAAAATAAATATAGTTAAATATATATAAAGATTATATAGATAACTAATAATAATTAATTACAAATAGTTATTTAATTATATATACTAAGACTTTTCTTTTTAAGCAATTTATGTTAGTTTATAGATAGTATAGGTTTGCTAAGAACCCATCACCCGGTCTATAGACTACTTAGTTTATGGGCTGGGTTTCAAAACTAGATCTATGGATCAGGTATGGATATAAAAGTGATACCTATGGTAGGCTTTGTTAAGGTCTATTTTTGCTAATATCTGTCGAACTGTATTTACCTTGTATGAAGTCGGCACTTCTTATAAATTTAAAAATTTTCCGAGTGGCTTCGTATAGTATTATAATATTACTATAGCATTTCTGTAGTACTGCTATAGTATTATTGCAATATTGTAGAATTTGATAGAGATCAGCAAAATTAGAGATTTATTTGATCTTTTTGGATTCAATTTTAAGGTTAAAGGATTTTATTATTAGAGATTGTTTAATTAGAAATATTTAAAGTTTTTATTTAGTGTCTAGTATTTAGTTCTTTATCTTTTTATTTATTTAAATAAAAAGATTATATTAAAGAATTTTAATAAAAAGTTTTATTTTCTTTAAGTAGTTAATAGAAATATATTATTTAAAAAAATGATCTTAAATATTTATTGATATTGAAGATATATATATATTAGTAGATTATAAAGATATATATTTCTATATTATATGTATAAGTTAAGAATATTCGTAGACTTAGATTGAATATCTGTAAAATTAAATATAATAGATTATAGTATTTTATTAATATATATAAGCATTTTATACTTCCATTTTAGGTAATTCTTAGTAAGATTTATACTTCGCAGCACCTTTGTAGCACTACTGTTTAGTATTGCAGCACCTGGTGCTACAGTACTAGACAACAATACCAAAATTAAGCTAGTACTGCAACACCTCGCAGCACTATACCGCAGCATCAAAATTCACCAAATACTGCAGCACTTATCAAGGTCTAATAATAGTAAGTATTCTATAAATAAATTATGTATATATAGAAATATATATTTATATAATATATAAAAAATATACTTTGTTTATATAGTTTGTATACCTAGAAAACCTAGAGAATAGAAAAAATAGATTTCTTGGTCGTACTCCAACAAAACCTTTCAAGGATTTTTGGTCAATTTTAACTACATTATACGACTTTTCTACTAACTAGATTGCTTTCAGATTCAAACCAAATATAGTTTAGGTATGGGAATAGAACTTCTGAAAGTTTCAGGCGAAAGCATCCACTGTAGCGGAAAGCACTGAGGGTCTGAAAGTTACTAGCATCGAGCATCTGAGGGTTTTTTCTGCCCATACTTAACGAAAACCCACCGCCTGGCACCGAGCCTCGATGCCGTCCCTGCCCTTGGATAGAAGTCCGCGCCAGATGAGGAAGTATGTCAAAAGCCAGAAAAAGAACTCAAATAATTTGCATAATTTGCAATTGTATAACCTATAGAGACAGTCATATAATCACTTTCTAATCCAAAAAGGAGTAGGATCATATAATAATCAACCAGACTTCTCATCATATTTGACGGACTTCTACATCGTTGCTGATTGGCCGGAATTCTGCACTTTTGATATCTCTTCTCTCTCTCTCTCTCTATCTCTCCTTCTTTTCTTCTCTCCCTAGTTTAGATCTGTTTGATATAATTGAACCATATTCTTACGTTTTGCCAGCCTATCATTTCTTCTTTGCCTTCATAGATCCCAAAACGATCTACTGCTATTGAACCTTAGAACCCGAGCGAGAGCAACCGCAGAAAGATCCAGCGCCGGGGACGCGAACACTTTTGCAGGTGGAACAAGAAAAGGCTTCGGAATGAGTCAATGATAGCAATGAGTGCTAGATGTAAAGGATGATATAACAGTCTCGGTACCTAGGTACTCCGTTCCAAGGTTTACTTTGGACCCTGTACAGATAGCAGACTTCAGGGATCTTCGACTACATTCATGATATGGAGCCCTGGAGATCTCGGTCTGCGGCTTTGATACATCCCCGTTGTAGTAACTTCGGCGACTTCACCCCGAACGGGGAATATTCCCCGCTATGATCCCGTGCGGGGGACCTTCCCCTCATCGCAAATCAACCATGAGTTCCAAGTCCCGCATAGAGGGCGCAGCAGTTCGGAAACACTTATTAATGGCCATGTCCTTTGGCTTTGGACAAGTTCTTGATGTCTGGTACATTTCACAAACTTCCCGATTTACCTATACAAAAACTCGCAATGGCGACAGCAACCATGAAAGCGCTCAACTACCTCGGACCTTACCAAGTTCGTGTAGAAGATGTCGAAAAGCCGAGAATGGAGCACCCTGACGATGTAATTGTCAAGGTTACAACAGTTAGTAATCCCACCCAGCCCGTCGTATTGTCCCTGTGCTCGTCTGACAAATTCTGAAGGCTGCAATTTGTGGCTCTGACTTACAGTGAATTTCTCTCTCTCCCCTCTAATCATCCATATCGTTTCTCATCCCGGGTGAACTAACCGGAACTTAGTATGTATGAAGGGAGAACCGCTGCGGAGCCTGGGATCACTTTCGGTACAGAGTTCACTACCCCTCTCAGGGGAGGGACAATGGGATATACTAATTGATATTCAGGCCATGAGAATATGGGGATTGTGGAAGAGTTGGGTGACGGAGTGACACTGTTGAAAAAGGGGGATCGCGTGGTGATGCCATTCAATGTCGCAGACGGCCGGTGTCGCAACTGCGAAGAAGGCAGAACCGCCTTCTGCACTGGAGTCAATCCTGGATTTGCCGGGGGCGCTTACGGTATAACTTTTCTCGGTGCTTTATTGTCTTTGTTGTTTGTTGACGAATTACAGGCTATGTTGCAATGGGTCCCTACCGGGGAGGTGGGCAGTCATCAAGTTCACATGAAGGATCAATTCTAATGAGTGATCACAGGCCAAGCACAGTACATCCGTGTTCCATATGCAGACTTCAATGCGTTGAAACTTCCTCCAGGCAAGGAACATGAAGCAGACTTTGTACTTCTCGCGGGTGAGTCCATTCCGTGTCGAATCAATTGCTTGGTGTCTAAAATATACTGATGCAATGGTCTAGATATCTTTCCGACCGGTATGAACGCACCAGATCCCCCCCGCAAACCAAGAAGACCCTTCCGTTATTCTAATTATGCTGATAGGCTGGCACGGCGTGGAGATTTCTGGCTTCCAGTCGGGCGAAAGCATTGCAGTCTTCGGCGCCGGTCCAGTTGGGCTGATGGCTGCATACTCCGCCGCATTGCGCGGAGCGTCCAATATTTATGTCGTCGACCGTGTCCCTGAGCGACTAGAGGCAGCCAAAAATATTGGAGCCATCCCCATCGACTTCACCAAGGGAGATGCTGTCGACCAGATCATCGCCCACAATGGAGGAATGGTGGACCGATCGGTAGATGCCGTGGGATATCAGGCTGTTGACTCTAATGGGTCTGCTGAAAAGGCAAACATTGTGTTGGAAAACATGATTCGGGTAACACGGGCGTGTGGTGGAATGGGAATTCCAGGGCTCTATGTTCCAAGGTAGGTTCCCCGGACCTCTATGGATCAATTGCAGGCCTTGAAATGATCAGTACAAAACTAATGCGATTATTTAAGTGACCCTGGTGCAGCTGATGCCGCAACTGCAAATGGGATGATAAGTCTTAGCTTTGGCAAGTTGTTTGAAAAGGTATGTGTGCTCTCTGTGAGTTGGGTCTCGATGAAACTTACCCTGTAACAGGGCCTCTCGCTTGGTACTGGACAGTGCAATGTCAAGGCTTATAATCGGTACCTTCGTGATATGATTATTGCGGGCAAAGCCAAGCCCAGCTTTGTGATCTCTCATGAGATTGCACTTGCAGATGCCGAGACAGCATATGAGAAATTTGACAAGAGAGAAGATGGTTACACAAAGGTAATCATTCACCCGAATGGTGGATTCTGAGCCTTCATAGCTTTTATATCGCATTTCAAAAATGATTCGGAACTCTTTTGGTCCCAAGTAACCACCTGGGCACATGTCGCCTGCTGGATGCACTGAGACGAGTCTTGTAACATGTCCTATTGTCATGTCCTTAGGGGATTGGAATTTGCGGTCTAAATATTCGTACTCGTAGGAGTGAAAGTGAGATTGATTCATACTTTCCTTGATCTCGAAGTCATTATATTGGGTACGGCGTTTTCCCGCGCACAACATTCAATCGCACCCATACTTGGAGGTTATTTCCCCCAGTGACAAGTTGATAAAACATTTCCTGGGGATTGGAAATCGATTACATGCAAAGCTCGCCGAGAGATCAGTTTGCTCTCTTTGGAATCACGTCGTGTCCACAGCGGGGTTCCTCAAACAGGCATTTTTCGCCGCCACTTGAGCCCTCACGACTCTGGGTGGGGCAGCCCTCAGCCTGATTCTCCAGTGGCATTGGGGCGGGGAGCTCAACTACTTTGAGTATCGTGGAACCCTGAGAGTATACAAACTCCGTACAGGCAAGAATGGTTCGTGCCGGAATATGGGCAGGTCCTATGTGATGCCTTGACGCCGAACTCCCATGTCCAAGATGCATGGTGTACGGAGTAACGAGAGATACAGTGCTATGGTGTCTGCCTTGTTTGCACTGTTTGCATTGTTCGAGTGGTTTGTCAGATTGTCATCCCCGCCGGGCATCGTCACTTTCCCGGACCCGCTGGACCAAGTATCAGAGGGGATTTCGTTGTACATTGTCTTTGAAACACCGAACACATGCGCCGCTCAACTCTCTAGATGTCCGCTTCTGGCAAGAAAGGTGGTGGTGCGCTGATTTTGCTCCCTCTGTCATCATCGGCATTTCTGACTTCTCATACACAGGGTGTTTCCAATGCTCCAAGCGGCGCATCACATGCGATGGCATGCAGCCAACCTGCACGAAATGTCAGAAACGGGGGATTGAGTGTTCGGGGCCTGGCAGAATTCGTTTCATGAATGCGGTCGCCATGCGGGGGAGGTTGAAAGGGTGTACTGTCCCCGTGCCTGGGAACCCAGACTCGGGCATTGTTGCACAACCCCAGCAACCAGCAGCGATACAACCAAGGCAAATCAGATGGAAGGATGATCAGAAAGTGCGATCCAAGCGAAAATACACCGAGCGACGAGCGAACCTGATTAAGTCCGATTTGGAGACAACGGCGGGCACACGTTCTAGAATGCCGAGGGGACAGGAGTCACGCCACAACGACCAGCAAGAGAGGATTTCTGTCTCGTCAACAAGTCAGCGGCAAATTGTCAACAGATACAGGACGGCCAAGCATCCATTGCCCCCGCACGATCATGCTTCCAGTGGGACCCTCCGAAACAAAACCCCCGAGGTCACCAGCGGCCGTGTGTCTTCAGCTACAACTCATGGAATCATCCCTTGGCTGGCGCCATTAAGCGCAGACACGCGCATGCTGTTTTTTCATTGTAGGTCGCTTTTCCACTCCTCTAGGTTTCATATTAAGGATCAACTACTGACCATTGGCTTCAGTCGCAGAACAAGTTGCACCTGTTATGGTCATTCTAGACGGTATTTCTAATGGGTACCGCGATGTTCTTTTGCCACTGGCTTGCGAAGACAACCTCTTGCAGCGTGCCATCTGTGTTGTAGCAACACAACATCTGACATTGTATAACACCAGCCACAAGAACGCCGCCGACCAGAATCGAGCCGCCGTGATCTCACGCCTCCGGCGAGATTCCTTGCAGTCCTCCCCCGATCGGATCTTCAATGTATCCACATGGGCTACCTTGATTGTGCTTTTAGTCGGAGAAACTATAACTGGCGGTTCAGAGTGTGGACATCTGTTGCAGACTTTGATCTCGCTGGCCGGCAATATATCTCAAACAACCTCCTCACGGTTGACTCAGTTCCTGCTGCAACAAACCCACATGTATGTTTTCCTTCGATCTCATGGGAATTACTCTCATCGATAACTCTAGGTTCCACCTTCTCGGGCAGCCTCTGCTCGGGACCTTTGGTGGAGGTGCTTCCCCGTTGACTCACCCGATCGGTCATTACCTCGATTGGACGTACTACGATATTCCCTCCCACTCTGAGCACCATGATCTTCTGCAAATATCCCGAATGGCCTTCGTGAAGGCGTTTCAAATATACACTGGACGCAAAACCTCCAATGACCACCAGTGGGAACTACTGGAAAGCCTCAAAACACTTGTCTGTCAAATTGATCCCAATCAAACAGGCTCGCATGCGCTAGTATGGGTGTGTTTTATTGGGGCAGCGGATAGTGTTGACCCGATCCACCGGAGGTTCTTCGTCGATCGAATGAGCCAGATCTATGCCAAAACACAGTTTCAAAATATTGCTGCTGGTATGCGATCATTACCTAGGATCTGGTCCGAGCAGAGCTCTGGAAGATGGACGGAAGATCTAGTCCGGCTAGCTCCTACGTTGGTGATATGATGCCAATCATAGAACCAGCACCGCTCTACAAAGTTGGTGCATCCCCTACCGTGGGGTTTCTCATACCGAAAAAACATTAAAAACAACGACAACAACAAAAGGTGGGATTAGCCTTCTATGCAGCTATTTCCTTCGGCCAACGCCCAAAAGTGAACTGCGAGTTACACATGTTGGTCAACTCCCAACTCTCGGCGCCGAGCACTGCGGGTGTATTGCGGTCTTCCTCATGTCCGGCAGCGCCGGCTACGAACAGCGCAGCCATAAAGTGGTCGTCGGTGGCATGCGCGTCCCGAAACCGTGGGTGCTTCATCAGCCTTGCCATCGCCCGGCGCAGGTTCACTCCGGAGGTCTTAGTGACCACATCCTCGAACGCTTGTCGGAACTCCATCGCCCAATCTTCTGGGGCTGTCTCCATTGCGAAGTTGTCCCGGAAGCGCATCATTGGGGCCCATCTGTTCCGATACAAATTGTGTACAGCACCGCCCGTTCCGATGACCAGGTAGTTTTCTCGGCGGAGGGGACGCAGCGTGGCACCAATCCTCATGTGGAAATGAGGATCGTAGCGAGCGTTTGCCGAGACCAACGTAGTGGGCGGGCAACCCCCCGGGAACATGCGGATCAAGATGAGATATACATCGTGAATCCAGTCGAAGTTCGGATTGCCGCTGACGTTGAAGCCCTCCCGGGCCAACATCGTGATGCAACGCTCTGTAGTATCGAGATCGGGGATGAGCTTGTAGTTCTGGTACTTGTCCGGATGCACGTAGGCCACAGGACTTTTGTCTGGGTTTGGATTCGTTGCCAGTTCGATTTTGTCGCCCATGCAATCCCAATGAGCTCCCTGGGCTTCGGTTAACGGTGAGCCTTAGGATGTATCGCTGGGCATAACCTACCATAATGACCACACCTCTGATGTTTCGCGCCAGCGCTTCATCTCCACAATTCTTCCAGTAGTCGGCACTCTCGGATTCTTCCCCCAGCATCATCGTTGAGCCATGGGAAAAGAAATGTACTGGTGTGAGACCTGCCAGCAATTAGCCCCGAGTCTGCTTAAAAGGGGGACAGAGTTACCCATAATTGCGACAAGAACTGAGTTGATCCTCGATGAGCGACTGTGAGAACATGACTGGTTTTAACACAGTCTACTCTGTATAGTGGCATCGGGTATGTTCCCCCACTTCCCGACCGTGGCGACAACCCAACTTGATCTAGTTCTAAAGTTATGTCCGATTCCCCTTTTACCCCTCCGACTTAAGCGCCAAAGTGCCCAAATCAGCCGAATTTGTTGTCTTTTCTTGCGAAATCCGGGGTACATTGCGGAGTAGGCGGATGAGCCCGGAGCAAGACCCCCTGAACTGGTCATTCACCAGACCTTCTCAGCAGATTTGGGACTGTTCGGGATAGCTTACACCATCTACACAGCGATTCATCAATTCCCATGCATGATGACATTCTGGGCTAGGGCGCGTTGATCTTCCCCCTCCCCCAGGTGCTTCCTCCTCTCTCTCTCTTTCTCTCTCCCTCCCCCTTGTCAGCGAGAAGAGAACGCATTGGATAGCATGAGATCATGCCAAACGAATCACCCAAGCTGGACTACCCCAGCACTGATTCTCACACGAAGAATCAAGACGGCTACTTTCAATGCGGATTCTGCAAACGCCATTACAACCGAGCGGATCATCTCATTCGACATGTTCGTTCCCACACTCGAGAAAAGCCTTATGTCTGTGACGTTTGCGACAAGGGGTTTGCACGACCGTAGGTTTCTTTCGGCCGTGTCGCCTCGCATCGCTGATATATTTCCAGGGACCTGTTGAAGCGGCACGCAGCGGGTCATGCCAACGACCGTGATCGAAAGCGAAAGCGAAGCTCGTCAATCGCGAAGCAAAGTAGGGTATCACAGGCTTGCAAGGCTTGTGCATCTTCGAAATTGAAATGTGACGAGAGCAAACCTTGCCGGCGATGTCGCGAACGGCATCTAGCTTGCGATTGGCAAGATATCCAACAACAGGCGTCCCCTGATCCGCATCAAGACACGCTGCTGGAGATGGCAGCAACAGAAAATAGGCACTTAGACTCAATGCATTCCCCCTCAGATGTATTGTCGCCAATCTTAACCCCCTTAGAGGACTTCTCATCTGTCAGTGCCTTGATGACATCAGGTGTGAATCTGCAAGATAGCGTTCTCTCTCCGGTAGAGACCATGAGCAACCAGCAACTGTCCCGGGACACAGGAGGTAATGTTCCATTTGAACGGTCAGGTTGAATGGAAACTGATAATTGGGCAGTCTCCCCAAATGACCACGAAAGCGCAGTTTTCAGCATCGACGGGACTTTTTTTCCGAACTTCATCCCAGACTCTCTGATCCCATCTCTATCACGATACAGCGATTCTGATTTCCCCGGCGCGGTCCCTGACTACGCTCAATACGGCGCTCTTGATAATTTCCACTTCGACCTCACTCTGACAGATGGCGATTTCAGCCTTATCGACTTCTACAATTCTCACAGCATTACTCCAGATGTGCCGGACAGCCGTACAGATACCCTCTGTGGAACAGAAAGCGGTATCGGCCTTGGAGCGGAGGCTTATCACCGATCATCACTTTCGGCATACAAACCTGCGCGTGAAGATCACGCTTTTGATGATCATGAGAATTTGTCTGTGCCACAAATGATGAACACCCCCGAAACCAGCGTCTTTACCAATGAGCCAACTCTCTGTGACAGGCTATCACCCACTAGCCGTGATCTAATCCTGAGTTTGATTCTGGAGGTTAGCCGCGAGGCCACCCTGAGTCGGATTGTAAGATCCTTCCCTGGAGCGGATTTGCTTGACGCTCTGGTCCAGCAGTACTTTGAACACCAAACGCAGGATATCAGTGCGTTCATTCACATCCCCACATTTCATACTAACACCGAGGATCCTGGTATTCTTGCTGGTCTGGCTGCTGCTGGTGCTGTTCGCTCCTCTAACCCCACCATTCGAAAGCTGGGGTATGCATTGAACGAGGGAGTTCGCATGCATCTCCCAACAAAGGTCCGTCTTACGATACATTATCTCAGCTTCATGGGAGATATTAATATGCTTCTAGTATGAACGAGACAACACGTTTATTCGTGATTTACGGACTTCACAAACTTACGCCCTGACAATTGACATCGGCATTTGGAGTGGCAACCGACGAAAGACGGAGATAGCGGAGAGCTTCTCACAGCCCTTGATTACAATGCTTCGTCGTGCACTGCGATTCCGGCGGTCTATTTATCCCGTTGTTATCCCACTCGCTGAAGATGTAGGGAACACTCTCGAGTCCAAGTGGCGTAGTTGGGTTGAGCAAGAGTCTTTTAAGCGGTAGGTCACCCTCGGATGCACTGAAAATTTCAACCCATGTTGATATACGCAGGCTCGTTTATTATGTTTTCCTCCACGACGCGCAGACAGCCATGGCCCTCAATGTCAACCCAATCATATCCTATGCAGATATGGAACTCCCCCTTCCTGCGTCGCGCCAGCTTTGGGATGCCAAGTCTGCGGTTGAATGGAAGGACATTATTCACGCAAAGGCTCCACCTTTGGAACGTCTGCCTTCGTTGGCTGATCTGCTTCGGGACATGTCTCAATTGACGATGTTGCAAGATGTGATTGATACTCAGTTGGCGGCGTCAGTGTTGGTCCATGGCCTATCGGCACTGGTCAATGAATACCACCGATTAAAATTCATCTCCAGTGGCGGCTCCAAACACTGGCATGCCCTTGTGACATCCTCCCGTCAGCAGGAACTTGATCAAGCCCTCCAGCATTTTCGAATGGTTTGCTCGGAGTTAAAGACTGGGTGTCGCCCCGAGACGATCTTGATCGGTGAGGTTGTTTCCATGCTCCTCTACATGTCTCTCGAAGAATTACAACTGTTCGCCGGCAGGGAAGACAAACAAGAAGCGCGACGGGTGTACCATTCTGCGCTGGAATGGATAGCAAGCTCAGATTCCAGACAAGCCATCTCACATGCTGGTCAGATAATCCGCGCCGCTAGAAGCATGTCATCCGGTGCTCTGACAGGGTTCCTGGCTATCGGAGTATATTATGCCAGTCTAGCATTCTGGTCATACAGTGTAGTCTCCAGAGCTAATACAGAGAAACTTCCTGGTCAGTCGGAATCGCAGAACTCGGGTGCCGGCACAACGGTCTTTCTCGATTGTGATCGGGGAGTTGAAGTCTCAAAATTCGTGACGCTAAACTGTGGCTTTCCTGCTTTGCATGACTCAGGGAGGGCAGTCTATCTAGTGAATCCAGCGGCTATCATGAGATTAGCGGAAGCAACCCTTCATTCAGATCCGCCCAAAAAGACGCCGGCTTTGGTGCAGATGCTTTCTCAGTTGATGAGAGATTTGGGGAACTGCGTCGATCGAGGTAGATGACCAGTGCTACTCCGAATTCGCCACCGTGATGACCCTGTACCGATGTCGGTTGGGGTCTTCGTTCACTCGATGTGTACACTGCTAATGATGATCTTGTCATTCATATCAACGCTCAATTCGGCATTGCAAAATGTCATACACGTGGGTGTGAGCTTGCAGAATCATGAATGGGCTCGACCTATCGGAGGAAAGAGGGAATGCGAGTGATTGCGCCAGTCAACTCCTCTCCCAGGACTCCTGTTACTTCAACCCTGCTTCAGGTCTACTCATTCAGATTCAAACACTATGAAAATATCGAGATCCACATGCCGATTCCCAGCCTGTGTCTTGTTTTCACGCTCCCCTGAGACGAAATGTAATGCCGCGAGAATACCCATGGATTCAAGCACCGATCTCTAATTCGACAAGCTCATCAGCGACTGGGTCATTTAGCTCAAGGGCACTGGGACCATCGCCCTAGTTAGTGACGGGCTATTCTAAGGTTCTCCTGTGATCATCGTGTCGCGTGTCTCTCCTTCCAAGAAAGCCGTCGATGAGGATAAGCGCGAGAAGAAGAACTAACAACAAAGGGTATCAACCTGGACATTCTATTCTTCTTTTGCGACCATCGCCGGTAAAGATATATCGGGTGAAATCCAAGAATTGGGAATCGTTTTCAGTGCTGTCAATTGCAGTCCACATTTGATCGTGTGAAGTAAGTCCCATATCACAGCGATACTGCATCATCTTTTTCTAAGATTTCACAGTTCAATGAATTTTCCTACTGAACCTTCTCCCATAGCATGCATTTTTCTTTCCTGATACGAAGTATGAACCCAACGAGAAACCGTGGAGGGGTCATCGACAAGAGATTGTGACACTCAAAATGGAAATAGGTCATGAGTACCCATAACTTTGGGCTCTATACTACACTTGAGCATATAAAATTGACCCTTACTGCGCAGGTAGTTCAGTTAAAGCCTGGAGATGAGGCTGGAATATGCTGAGTCATCGCGGATTCTGGTTTCCGTCTTCCCACAGTGAAGATCCTCGATTATTTGCTTAAATTCGCTGCTAGTGACGTTCCTGGCTCCACTCGTTGAACAATTCTTCAAAGGTTTTTCCACAGAATGTCTTTTTTTGTGCGTGTTTTCCATTTGAGAGTGACCGAGGACCTCTATATCCAACCGTGAGAGAAGATGGCACCCGATGACCACAAGAAAGGTTTCCAAGTGGAGGAGGAGGAAGTGGGAACACCAGAATCATCATTGACGCCTGTCATTACCAATGAGACTAGACGGTCTCAACAGTTGGAGACATCAGAAACGCCGGAGACTGTCGCGCAATTACAAAAGTTGCCCACTGCAAGAAGCCGTCGTGACTCGCACATGGGAGAAGCCCTAGAACATCTATCGCGAACACTTTCCGTGAATCAAAATGGAAAAACGGAAGACGACCTAGAAAAGGTGAACTCACGCATGGAACGCACTGGAACCCGTCGTTCAGCCAGATATCCCTCGCCGACACGAATGTCGGATCTGGACGAAGAGGCAGGAAGTCCAGCCTTCAAGGCTCAAGGAGTTCCTCCCGAGCTTGGGAGCTTCACGGCAGAGGTAATCTTCATTCTGGTCTGTTCTGCCGGACTGTTGTTGTATTCCTTTTTCCTAGGCGATATCACGGTCAATCAGGAAGAGTGCAAACGGGCGCTTGGAATCAGCAACAGTGAGCTCCCCTGGCTCATTGGCTCATTCACGCTACCACTCAGTCTTTCGGTTGTGGTATCGGGCTCGTTGAATGACCTGAGCCCTCCGCGGACGCTGATGATTGGGGCGTTCACCTGGCTCACCGTCTGGAATGTGGTCGGCGTCTTTTCAGTCACCCCGAGCAGAGCAATTCTCTTCTACATTGTGCGTGCAATGCAAGGCCTTGCTGTGGGTGTTCTGGTCTCCGGATCAATGAGCATCCTCGGTCGGATTTATACTCCTGGCCTGCGCAAGAATCGGGTGTTCTCGGCGATGTCAGCGACAGCCCCCTTTGGCTTCTGGTTGGGTGGTATTCAGGGCGGTGCGTTGAAGTCCTATCTGAATTGGATCTTTGGTTCCAACGCGATAATCTGCGCCCTTTGTCTGGCGGCCGCCTGGTTCACCATGCCCTCGCTCCGTCCGGTTGCTGATATTGTCGGTGGCGATGCGCCGACGATCCGCGAGTTCGACTTCATTGGAGCGTCCTTCATCGCTACTGGCTGCATCTTGGTTCTCTTTGGCCTTACACAGGGATCTGTGGTGATGTGGGCACCTTACACCTACGCTTTAGTTGTCGTGGGTGTGCTTCTGGTGATTGCATTTTTCTTCATCGAGCGCTGGGTAAAGCGACCCCTCATCCCTAACGGCCTATGGAAGATCAAAGGATTTACCCCGTTGATGATTGCCTACTTCATCGGATATGGAGGCTTCCAGGGGGGCTGGCAGTTCTATGCCGTTCAATTCTGGCTTCGAATCCAGCAGAACAGTCCACTCACAGTGGCCCTCTACCTGCTGCCCAACGCCATCGTAGGTGTGTTGGCGACATGGGTTGTCAGTCGAACCCTCCACATTGTCCCGGGGCATTACATCTACCTCACTGCAATGATTGCCTTTGCCACAGGGCCCGCCTTTTTCCTTCCGCAAACACCGAACACACCGTACTGGCCACTCTCTTTCCCCGGCGTGGCACTCGTCACCTTTGGGCCCGATCTCTCATTCGCCGCAGCGTCGATTTACATCACAAGTAATGTCCCTCGCTCGTACCAGGGTAGTGCCGGTAGCTTGTTGGTGACCATGCAAAATCTGAGCTCGGCCGTGATGACCGCTGTCGCCGATGCAATTGGCACCAAGGTTGATCAAGGGCCAGATGGCAACATTGGGCTCAAGGGCATACATGCCATTTGGTGGTTTGCACTTGCATGCGAAGTAGTTGCGGCGTTGATCACCTTGACCTGGGTCCGAATTCCCAAGGAGGAGGAGAAAGAGCATGTTACCTGATGGGAATGTTGTTTCGAACTTAGTGGTCGACAATTTGGTACAACGTTGGCAACTCAGAACTTTAGAACAACTTTAGAGTATACACAGTTCGATTTAATAATGTGTTTGGTATATCTCTGTATGACTTCAGTAGGTCTCCTACATAAGCCATCTCTTCTCAAGTTTCGCGTTAATTGATTTAGTCGTAAATTTTGCGTTCACAGCCCTGAAGATATGAATAAATCACTCTCCAGACCCCATGCTATCCAATCCTTGAATCCAATGGTTTCTAGAGCTTATGGCATGTATTCTTCCGAGTTCCACCCACATAGAACTTCGTGAAACATCGGACATTCTGCCGACATCTCTTGGGCTTCACAGCTATTTCAAATCGGCATTCGGTCCGAAGATCTCCTAGGAGCCAATAGGGGTCCACTGTAGGGTGTATGTCTCTATAAGGCGTCGGTGGGGCGTGTCTCCTGTAGGGCGTGAAGCGGGGATTTCCTTCTCAATCCACATTGATAGGCAAAGGAATAAACTAATCAGGACAGAAAATTTGCATCACAGGCACTGTGTAGGCTTGTCCCTGTTTACGTAGCAGCTAGGTGGTCTACTTGATATATTGCGCCGAGTGCCTAGCTGCGAGCTTTTTCAATAACTGTCAGATATCGCTTTCTACGCCAAAGAGCAAAGCGAACTTGTCAGGGCGATGATAACAGGTACATCTAGGGAGTATCGGGATCCCACAAGCTTCTCCCCTGTAGGTATCCGTTGAAGTCTGCCTCTTGGATGATATGTTGCGTATCGTGAACAAAGTGAAAGATGACCATTAACATGCCAATTTGATCTAGATCCGAAAAATTCACATCGTCCTCGCCGGCATTTGGTTCATTTTCAACAGCGCCTTTGGGTCATCGCTCCCATCAGGAGCCCACGATGCAATTGCAGACGACTTCCACTTAGCCCACGATGACACAAAACTGGTGCTTCCCAACTCGTTATATCTCGCCGGATTTGCCATAGGCCCTCTCATCTTTGGACCGTTGAGTGAACATGTCGGTCGAAAGCCAGTCCTCATCGGCACATTCAGCGGGTACCTCATCTTCACCATGGCCTGCGCGCTGTCACCAAACTTGCCCGCCCTGCTCGTATTCCGTCTACTGGCTGGCTTGAACGCAGCATCTCCCAATGCCGTTATCGGGGGATTATATGCGGATATTCTAGATGACCCAAATACGAGAGGAATCGCAATGGCTCTGTTCATGGTTGTGACCGCATTTGGGCCTCAACTGGCGCCTCTTGTCTCGGGGTTCGTTTCCGAGGTCTCATGGCGCTGGGCATTCTGGGTCGGGCTGGCTGCCGGAGGTGTAGGATATCCCCTAATTCTCTTCATTCCCGAGACATACGTGCCTGTCTTGAAAAAAAGACATGCGCAGAAGATGGCTCGACTGGGAAATGAGACACACACGACACATCAAAATCTTCATACGCGAGGAACGAATCCTGACACTGACAGCATCCTCAATATCTTCATGCGACCATTCAAAATGATTGTCACAGAGCCGATTCTTTTGTTTGCGTCGCTCTTCATGGGCTTCACGTATGCCCTTTTTTACTTGTATTTCCAGGCTTATCCACTCATTTTCCAAGGTAAGAGTGTCTTGGTCGCTGCAGCAAGAGTCAGAAATTAATGAGTGGTCCTAGACTTGTATGGGCTATCACCTGGGATGGCAGGGCTTGCATTCTTACCCAGTATGTCCACTAACTCCGCGCATATGTTGGCGTCTCCGCTCACCTTGTCCGTGCAGTCAGCGTGGGAGCCTTGATATCATTCTCCCTTTTCTTGTTATATGGCTCATGGCATTCAAAGGCTGTGCAGCGAGGCAAGGAGTGGGTGACACAGGAGGAATACAGGCGCCTACCACTCGCTGCACTCGGAGCACCTTTGTAAGTTCTGCCGGCGCTGCAGAGACTAATTCCCCTGGCATGGATGCTGACTTTCACAGACTCCCGATAGCTCTCTTCTGGCTAGGGTGGTCATCCAAGGCATCTATTCACCCCGTGGTTCCAATGATGTCCGGCCTTCTCTTCGGTATCGGATACATCCTCATTTTCATGGCGATGATCAACTATTTGACCGATGCCTATGAACAGTACTCTGCCTCGGCGCAAGCCGCTGCCAGCACTTTGCGTTCTTGCTTTGCCGTCTGCCTACCTTTGGCGACGAACTCCATGTATGGAAACCTGAGAATCAATTGGGCTAGTTCCGTTCTGGCCTTCGTGGCTATTGTGCTGGCCGTGATTCCCTTTGTCTTCATCCGATACGGACAATGGATTCGAAGCCATAGTCCGTTCTCTCATCGAGTCATGAAGGGGCAGTTGGCAGGAGACAGTCCAGCAGAGGGGGAGCCTGTTCTTTAGTGTGCACAGCCCACACACACACGCAAAACGAGAAGCTCGCCGGCAGTCGACGGTGACTGAACGAGATCGAGGGTGGGTCTGTTGCTTTTGATTGGCTGAGAGAGTCTCGGGGTTAAGATTTAGGCTCGGTTAGCGCTGAAAGCAGTTTTTGCATTGGCGCTCTAACGAGAGCCCTGGAGCCTCGAAAGTATTTGCTCCATGATCATTTTCAGTAGTGGAAGAAGGACTGGAAAGAAGCAGAATGGTAGATCAGACGGGATGAGGTCTTGATTGCCGTTGTTCGATCAAATATAGCGGAATATGAGCTTTTCTCCACGACGCGCTCGCCAACTATTGGTCGCATTCATTAACTCCGGACACCCTCGAACGACCCACTGCCATTTCTTGAGAAACGGCTCGGTGACCTCCCAATTTCGCACATCCCACGGCTCCCCCCACACCAAGAGCCCAGCATCCATCGCAGATTCCCCCCAGAATCCCATGATATCATGACAAAGCTGCTCGTCGTCCCAATCATCACCGGCCTCGATGAGGTTATCGCGCATTTTAGGTAGCGGGAAGAAGTCAAGCCACGGATGATGGGGCCTGGCTTTCTGCATTCGAGTCGGCTGGAGGTTGGGAGGAATACGACTGATCTCATCCGACGTGCGTGTATCATGTGGCAGAGCAGTGTTGAACTTAGAAATCGCGTCGTCGGGCATCCAAAATCCAGGCCACCCGACAATTTTTATATTTTGGGCAAACGCTCGAAAGACGTTCACCTTGGTCAAAGTCATAAGGTGATCGGCAGTCGGGTCTCCCCGCGCGTAGCTCTCGATCGCTGATTTCGCAAACCGATCCAATAGACTTTGGATTGCTGAGGGACTGCCACAGATATTCGGCTTGAGTTCGAGTCCCGTTGAGTCTGATTCAGTGGAAGACGTTGAGCGCTGCGGAACTAAGCTTTTGGGATGCACGTCTCGGGACGATTCAATGCGCTTGCGCTTGCCTGAAAGCCGTTAATCTAGCATCATCATCGGTGCAGGTTGAAGCTTACGATAAGCCCTCTGATTGATGCGATTCTGGCGTCGCCGACGCTCAGCCGGGTCGGTCAAACCGGACCAAGTATCAACCTCCACCTCAGTGGAGATAGACGTCTCTTTGTCAGTCATGGTGTCAGCACTAATGTGGATGAATGGAGGTAAGTTCATGGCCAGACCTCGCCACACCTGCGCAGTGCCAAGCCACATTACTAAGCCATTTCCGGAGTTAACGGACCTCGGGCGTAAGGAAAAGGCCAACTGGTTTATGATCGATCTTGGACAACACAAGAGCTCTCCATGGACCAAAGCTAGGGTCGAGAATCGCCAATTTTCTCATATGAGATAACATCAATTGGAGGCGACCAAAGTTGCCATGCTCAACTATTTTCTGGGGAAGTGCGATCTAAAGCCAAATAAATCATATTCATGTCGCTTCAAAGCGAGCCGAGGGAATCTCAGGTACAAAAGTGATTCAAAATTGCACAAAAAGGGGGAAATGAAGAAGCAAAGAAAACAAGAAAATAGCCTGCTGTACCGAGAACGAGTCACGGCCGTCCAGACCTTCATAGTTCATCAAAAATTTGGCTCCCATGTCGTTATCATCAATAGTGTGCCTTTTACTTGCGGGCGGCGTGAACAGTCTCAATAATCTTGTCCACAACGCTAGGGTCCGACAGCTGGAGATGGTCAGAATGGTTTGGCCTGGAATTGTCAAGGGTTCTGTGCTTACCGTTGATGTATCACCAAGACTATCTTCCTCGCCGCTGAGGATCTTCCGCAGGATGCGACGCATAATCTTGCCACTACGGGTCTTGGGGAGATCCTCGACCACGAAGACTGCCTTGGGGGCAGCGAAGGGGCCAATGGATTTGCGGACTTGCATGGTCAGGTCCTTGCGAATCTGGTCAGTGGTCTCGTTGCCCTCCTTCAGAGCAACAAAGGCGTTCACCGCCTGACCTGTGAGCTCATCGGCAATGCCGACAACGGCGGCCTCAGCCACGGAAGCTGGAGATTATCAGTTGCAGTCCAATGGGATGTAGATAGAGACGACTTACAATGCTCAAGGAGAGCGGCCTCAATCTCCGCAGTGGACAAACGGTGCCCAGAGACGTTGACAACATCGTCAACGCGGCCACGGATCCAGTAGTAACCATCGTGGTCACGGCCGGCACCATCTCCAGTGAACTGTTCCAGTCAGTAATGTGGATTTCCGAGCCGGGGTAATATACTCACGTAGTAACCCTTGTACACGTTCAAGTATGTGTCCATGTAACGCTTGTGCGCACCCCACACGGTGCGCGCCATACTGGGCCAGGGCTGCTTGAAAGCCAAGACACCCTCGACATCGTTGCCAAGAATCTCTTCTCCGGAGACCGGGTCGATGATCGCGGGCTCAATACCGAAGAAAGGAAGGGACGCACTGCCAGGCTTGGTGGGGGTAATACCGCCAAGGGGAGTGATGACGTTGGAGCCAGTCTCGGTTTGCCAATATGTCTGCAGAGAAATCAATTAGTAAGTGAGGATATGCGGATTATGGGGTGTTAAACGAACGTCGCAAATGTGTGCTTCTTCCTTGCCCACGCTTTCGAAGTACCACTTCCATACTTCGGCTGCAATGGGCTCTCCAACAGAACCAAGGATGCGAAGACTGTGCATCTTGTGGTGAATATGTTCATCTCCGGCGCGCTTCAGCAAGCGCAGAGCAGTGGGTGCGACGTAGAATTGGGTGACATCGTACTTGTCAATCACATCCCAGTAGCGGGAGAAGTTCGGGTAGGCAGGAGTACTCTCAAACACCACGGTGGCACAGCCAAGCAACAACGGAGCGTACACCACATAGGTGTGACCGGTGATCCAACCGACATCGCCACCACAGAAGTAGCGGTCGTCGTCGTGGATGTCGAACACGTATTTACCGGTCATAGCGGCACCAAGCAAATATCCAGCAGTGGTGTGCATCACGCCCTTAGGCTTACCGGTGGAGCCGGAGGTGTAGAGCAGGAACAGAGGGTCTTCAGAGCTGACAGGCTCCGGGGCGAGATAGTTGGGGTACTTCTCAACCTCTTCGTGCCACCAGATGTCGCGACCTTCGGTCCAGGGGACCTCGGCGCCAGTGCGCTTGTAAACAAGCACGGTGTGTACATCAGGGCACTGCTTCATGGCCTCGTCGACAATCTTCTTCGTACCAATCACCTTACCACCGCGCTTGCCCTCGTCGGAAGTGATGACCACCTTGGAGGAGGCGTCCAGGACACGGTCCCGGAGGGAGTCGGAGGAGAATCCGGCAAAGACCACAGAGTGAACCGCACCAATGCGCGAACAAGCCAAGAAAGCGATCACAGCTTCGGGAATCATGGGCAGGTAGATTCCCACAGTGTCCCCCTTCTTCACTCCACGCTCCTTGAGCGTCCAGGCCACGCGTGAGACCTCGCGCATCAACTCTCCGTAGGTGATCTGGCGACCTTCGTTGGGCTCGTCGGCCTCGTAGATAATGGCGACCTTGTCCGGGTTCTTCAAGGCATGGCGATCCACACAATTAAAGGACGCGTTCAACCGACCCTCGACGAACCAGGCGTTATCTCCATTCTCGAATGAGCCGTGGTGTGTGGTTTGGAAATCTTTGTCAAATGTGAGGAGTTCGCGAGCCATGCGGGCCCAGAAGGTATCGGGGCTGCGAATTGATTCATCGTAGAGCTTCTTGTACTCGTTGATGTCCTTGATGTGGGTTCCGGTAGGGTGCTTATCGTGGAATGCCTGGGGGACGTGGAAGGTGTCGACTTCGTGGGCCTCGTGCACCTGTGCAGGGGGTCAGAATAGGGTCCATTGGCCATTGGCAATTGGTAATTGACATGCTGCCATTTGGGGAGGGTATGCAGCTTACCACGGCGGGCTTAGGAGGCTGAACGGGGCCGTCCGACATGATTTCGGGGTTCAGTGCCGGTGTCCAATGCTAAGGGAATGAATGTGAGATGCAATGCTGCAACCGGTCAGTACACCACAACGAAATGGAGAAATGCGATGGTGGGGGGGAAAGTCCAAGGTGGGATGTGCGCGAAGAGCCAGGTGGGGGCGGTAGTTACATTATATCCTCGAAAATAGAGGAGAATAGAGGGAGAGGGTATAATTGAATGGAATGTGAATCAGAAAAGGGGAAAAAAGAAAAGAGAGCAATGAGGTGAAAGGAGAGAATATTATAGTCTCTGCCGGTGGAGAGAGAAATGCCACTCCAATACATATCCGGAGTGGTCCGTGCCCCCCTTTACAATACGACGGCGCTCACTTTCCACTGTACGAGTACAGAGTACTCGCACTAATTCGTTCTTCTTTGTCATGGGATACGTTTCTTCTCTCTATTCTCTGTCTGGTGCTTATTGTTTCTAGCTCTGTCTCCTTCTTTTCCTCTTTCCTCTCTCTCAATTCCCGTCTGTAGGGGATACCAGTTGCCTTCCGTTGCCCCGGGTCAGCCCAGCGCGACCTTGACTAAGATCCCCATCTTATTGGTGTTCAAGGAGTTCCCGGATGGCGAACCCTTTGTCCGAATTCAACCCCGCTAAACTTGGCTTAGCCAAGGCCCGGGGCTCCTCACGGGCCAGGGGAGGGCGGGCCATAGGAGCTACAATTCGTGGTCTTGTCCCGGTTGCCCTCGGTCATTTTGACTTCAGACTTTCGCCAGTGATGATGTCAAAGAATCCCAATCTCATTTTCCAGCTCCGCATCTCTCTCGCTCCACCTCTCCGGCTCACAAGACCTCAAGACCCAAGAACTCTGGCTGGGAATTGCGGGGGGATGAGTCAGCACCGAAAACGGCCAGCCATGGAGGGCTGACCACTCGAGGCGCAACGAGATGTCCCTCTGTCCCCCTCACATTGAGCTAATACGAGGACTAGTACGGAGTACGCTACCTTTGTACACTCACAAGGCTCTTGTTACCATACGCTAGCCTCAATCCAGGTAATATGCCAGCGGATATTGGCATTCTTAGCTTCGCATCCATTGTGGGGATCCGGTGGGACCAAAATCTGCCAGGTTTTTATTGTTGTCTCACTGCGTGGGGGAGCAACGGGAGGTATCTCTTGAGGCTGCATCGAGCCCCATCTAAACCTCCCCAACGTTATCATCCGGACTGGTAAACAACAACGTGGAAGATCAAGGATTTTCAGGTCCAATGCAGACATGCCAGGGGGAGAGAGTGCTACGTGGCAGACCAGGGTGGTACTCATATTTTGTCCCGTTAACGGGATCTTCATTGTAACTGTAACGACCCCCCCGAAGATCACTGAACTTACTCGTACTCGTAGTGCGAACTGGCTGCACTTCTGCTGCAGCTAAAGAAAAAGGTTGCTTAAGGTCCACTTATTCTCCCACTTCGCTTCCCAACAGAATTCGGCCAAAAGATTCGCACTCTGGAAACGGGCCCGTATGCGATACGTGCATCAGTCTCATGTCGAGGGGAAAACCCGAGCCTCCCTGCCAATGAGGACAACACAATGGAAATTCAATTGTGGGACAACCTACATGATCCACCGCGAACCACAGTAATGTGGGTGATTCCCGAGAAAAAGCCGCATTAAGTCCAGAGCGGCCCAACAAGAATTCCACCAGTCGCACCCCTACTCCGAGTATATACAGCCTCCGAGGTCGCACGGAAAGGAAATTATCCTCGGTTCATTGGTCATACTCAAGTGCCTCTCGGACATGGCCCGGCAAGAAGAAATTTCGAGTCAAGCCCATCCAGTGTGGCCCGTTCAGTCGCACCAGCGCCAGATCCATCATCGGGCATGAATTGTGTACCAGCGCTTGCCGCCACATATCGACCAGCCCGCGCGCCCGTACAGCATGTTCTTTCGATGGCGCTTGGACCACGAGAAGCATCATGAAACTGGAAACCGTGGCGAACCCGATCCGACACCAGGAGAACCAGAATGCCGAGACATCACAGGGCATGCGCAGCACCGAACGCAGCATGGTCGCGGCACAATTTTCGGCGGCCTTAAGGACCGCATTGCCAGTATTGTTGTCGATGGCGGGAACGGGGTCGATCTCGTCGGCGGAGAGGATCTCGGCGATATAGTCGTCTACCATGGTTTTGAGACTATCCTGAGGCTCTTCGAAGAGGCGGGGGGGAGCGGCCGATCGGACCATGGGCCGCAGAAGACCACGAAAGATGAAGACTTCAAGTAGGATGTAGGCGAAATGGAGACAATTCGATTGATTGCTTGGTGGGAAGGGTTTATCATGGTGACGCAAACCAAGAGGCAGGTGCGAGTACCATTCCTTCAACTTGGCTAATAGGCCCCGTGCCGTCTGGAGTGACTCAGGAAAGTTGGATGACAGGCGTTGAGCGGCACGTAAAGAACTGGCAGCTGGGTCAGTATGCTGACACCAATCGATTGATTCTTCAAAGGGGGCTCACAAAAGGGAATGCTGGACCTCATCGACCAAACAGGACAGCCGCGCGAAACTCTGGAATTGAAGTGCACACTCATTTTCTCGGATATGATTGTTCGGGGACGACACTGGCGCGTCCAGGCAAAAATCATCATCATCGAGCTCCGTCACATCCCACTCATCGTGTCGGATATAGGGTGGTCGGCCCATCAGAAGGCTGCGCCATTTGTCCTCGGCATAGAGAGACCACCAGAGTCGCCGGCGTAGGCGGCGTTCCCACGCAGGCAGACCCATTGGTCGACACTCTAACTGCAAACCCAGGGAGGTTGCCAGCCCAACAAGCATTCCGACCAAGGACCACATAAATGGGCTGTCTGCAACAGCACTCTGATTGTCTTGGTGCTGCTTGTGAAGGTATAGAAGGCCTGCTTGCATGACTGCCAGATGTGGGGTGTGAATTTCTTCCATGATGATCTCGAAGACGATTCGCCATAGCCGGTCTGTGGGTGGTTTGTTGTATGCGTTTAGAATACTGAGATGCTCGTCAAATTTGGTGAACGGCTGGGCTGAGGCATAGATGGCGGCCAAGAGATGCACTGGCATGTTTTGCAGCATTTCTGCGTCGGGGATATTGCACGAATAGGTGAGTCCGAGTCTAGATCGCGAAATAATCGGTAGGGTGGGAAACACAAATTTCATAAATCTACACTGTATCAGCTGAGGTCCTTTTCTAAAGTTCCAGTACTGTGTATCAACCACAGCATTTTGTCGATGGGAAGTATATAGCCCTGAAGAAGAGGCACTATGATAAAATGGGATGGACTAGATAGGGGATCATGGACTTACAATAACACCAATCGCCTTCCACACTCAAGAGACACCAAGGAGTTTACTTCGTCTCTGCGTGAAATAATGTTGGGGTACTTGGTTGTCTCTTTGGCCGGTTCGTACAGCTCATCCGTCGTAACTAGGAAATGTACAGGGATCTTCTCATCCCGCGGGACGCCGCCCGCGTTGCGGAAGTGGACCTGGTGAAAGAGTAGAAGTCCATTGGCGTCGAACTTGCAGTGTCGCAACAGCCATGGGTCCGATTCACCCGATGCCCCGATCAGCTGTGACGAAACCCCTTTGAGGCCGTCCAGAGTTTGAATAGCCTGGGGCGTCGGTCGCTCTGGTAGATGAAATTCCGGTTGCAAGGAAATCAAAAACTCTCCCGCCGGGTCGTTGATGAGACTGGAATCAAAGTTGATTGCTGACCCCGGCCCAGCAGGGGTATGTGGTGTTGTAATAGCATCCACGCCGGCGGGTGAGGTCATCCCATTGTGTCCATGCTGAGCTTCTTGGTCTGTCGGGGATGGAATCCCCGGCTGTGGCGAAGAATGGATTGGATTGAAGCTGCAGGGTGACGATCTTGCCTGACAGCGCTGACAGCTTTTTCTCCCGTCAGCTTCACATCGAAGCTTTTTGCGCCTACATTGATCGCAAGGTGGATGACGTTTAGACCGGTAGGGACGACCAGCGTCTCGATGATTGGAGACCTTCGGGGAACACTCCATGGTGCGATTATATAAAATCAATGCCAAAATGCAACAAGCAGGCGAAAGATCGGCGAGCCAGCACAGAGTGCGGCGGATGTATATCCAGTGATGATTGGGCAAGAACTGGACAAAGCTGCATCAACTCAAAAGTCGCTTCCTGTCGACACCATCTCCAGTACTCAGCGCTGCTTTGGTCTCCCAGGGACTATGAATGTCCTCGATATTCGAAACGTCGAGTCACAACCTTGTATACAGATCGCAAAACGAAGTCGGGGCACACTCGATTCCGCCGAATACCAAGATCGGCCAACCAATCACAGGACGACTTCGCCGAAAGTTCCTCAGCGGGTCGAAACCGACCAATCAACATTGAACTTCACCGATCACTTTGCATGCACCGAGTTGAGCTGACCAAATTCGCCTTTTGGACAGGGGATCTTGAAGCATTGGGCTCTGTAAGAGCCTTCACTACGACAGGACGGACAGAATAGGACATAAATATAGTCCACCGCACCCTATCGAGCTATGTGAAAACCCCCAAAGCCCCAACATCCCGAGGATATGGACCCGACCCAAGAAGCGATCGATATCACGCCTGCACCCGACAGCCGGGAGTCTTCAAAAGACAACAAATATCCGGAGGGAGGCCTGCAAGCATGGTCGGTTGTATTGGGAGCATGGTGTGCGATGATCCCCTCGATGGGGTTATTAAACAGCTTGGGTATTCTCCATGCCTGGACCAGCGCACATCAATTGAAGGACTATTCCGAGTCGAGCATCGGTTGGATCTTTGGGGCATACGGATTCTTTCTGTATCTTGCAGGAGCGCAAGCGGGTAGGTAATATCGTGGTCTGAGTGGATTGCACTTACTGATTAAAGTAGGGCCTATCTTCGATGCCTTTGGCCCTAGATATGTGGTGATTCCAGGATCCATTGGCACCGTGGCTTCATTGTTATGCTTGAGCTTCAGCAAAGGTAAATCTCTACCACTATGTCTGGAATAATTACTCACAAGGAAAGAATACTACCAGATCTTTCTCTCCTTCAGTGTCCTTGGGGGCCTGTCCGCCTGTACGCTTTTTACACCAGCCGTCTCCGCCGTTGGCCATTGGTTCCAGATCCGTCGTGGTTGGGCAACAGGGGTCGCCTGTACAGCTGGGGGCGTGGGAGGGGTGATATTTCCTTTAATCATCCTCTTTGCTGCCCCAAAGGTTGGATTTGGGTGGGCAATACGTATAATTGCGCTCCTCAGTGCCGTTTTGTGCACTGTCGCTTGTCTCTTGCTGAAGACCCGGCTACCTTCCAATACGAGAGCTGGCGCGACTGTGGATTTTCGAGCGCTGAAGGACATCAAGTACGCATCGACGACTGCGGCCATATTCTTGGTTGAATTTGCCGTATTTATTCCGATAACGTACATTTCATCCTATGGAGTACATCAGGGTCTCAAAGACACCATGGCCTACCTCCTGATTCCCTTCTTGAATCTGGGTGCAATCCCCGGGAGGTTTCTTCCGGGACTGATCGCTGATCGTGTCGGTCGCTTCAACGTGATGGTGCTGACATCGCTTATCTGCTCGCTTTTAACCCTCGCTTTATGGCTGGAGGCGTCGAACAATCTCCCTTCTATTATCTGCTATGCAGTCCTTTTTGGATTTTGGAGCGGGGCCGCCATCAGCCTAACTCCGGTGTGCATCTCTCAAGTATGTGCCACGGAAGACTATGGAAAGCGGAATGGAACCACCTTCACCATTGTCAGCGTTGGCACCTTGGTGGGGATCCCGATTGCGGGGGCGATTCAAGAACGAGACGGTGGAGAATATGGAGGCCTTATTGTGTTTGGTGGTGTCCTTTATCTGACCGCCACGGTGGCGTTTGTTGTCGCTCGAGGTATATGCGCTGGGTGGTCCTTAAAGACCAAGTTCTAGGGCTTTTTGTGGACACTATCGAACATTGTGAACGATGGAACAAAGGAAAGTGAGCCCATCGCAGATCCAAAGGGCTCGAGAATATATGCTCAGTGGTGGTATGGTATATCCTATGGATCTTGGCTTTATACTAGAGACAGGATACGCATGTTGTTGCAATATCATCATGCAGAGCTATTCCGATTCAGGAAGTTTGACGCTACATCTGCAGCTCCGATCTCATCGAAATATTCCTCGGAGAATTTTTGCGATCGAGTTTCATCTTTTGATCCATTTGTGCATAACAAAAGAAGAATTAAATCCTGGTGACTTGCCCGTTGGTGATCTTCCCTGGATTGTGGCGATATAGATGGACTTCGGCGACCGCCGACAGCGAAAATACAACGATGTGTCATGGCACAGTGAAGATCTGAGCGGGAGATTGGGGGCTCAAACAGACAGCAAGGGCATATAAATGCATCCCAGTTTCATCTTCCAATCCCTCTTCTTTGCTCAACAATCACAAGTTACAACCTTGTGTTTACGAGTACAATCATACTTCACTCCAAGACTCAACCTTGCAAGCCCAGACATCATCACACTCAGTTATATTCTCATCTCTCCAAACCAGAAGCCAAGATGACGGGCAAAGAGATAAGCACCAGTATCAAGACCAAAGTCCGGTCTATCCTGTCTACTAGTGAGGATAGACCGAGACCCTATGAACCGAGAACATACCCGTAAGGTGTTTTCATTTGTGTGAAATCTTGTCCTCTGACCTGGCCACAGTACCTCCAGGGTCATTTGCTATACTACTCCTGCTCCTTACAACGGTATCCTCTAGCCTGATTGTTTCCTTGTTCCCAAGATATTGACCACGAGCAGGAGATCAGTGCTTTGGTTCTTGTTGTCGCGGAAAGGGATATTCTCGGTAGGCTGTGAGTTTCCACAGGGCTTTCGGTGGACTTCTGTTGTTTATGTCGGTTCGACAGAGCGCTCGAGATTAGGAAAGGGAGCGAAATCAGACTCGCCGAGCACTCCATATGAGATGAGTTGGGGTTGCTCTCATGTACTTATACCACTATACCCCCCAGCACTACTGATATGCTGGATATCAAGTGAGTCAGAAATCCAAGCACCAAATATGTGTGTTTTCAGAATTTCAGTCGTACTTCTTGGCCACACGGTGAATCCTCCGTAGACGAAGAGTCCCGAGAACGGGCCAAGATGTTGCGGGAAGGCGTTCCCGCGAGCGAAGACATTTCCCCTGCATTTCCCCTACATTTTCCCATCATTTTCCCTTTCACCAGGTAATTTTGAGTGGTATTTCGGCAAAGTTCCACCGAATGTACGTCTGCGCATTCCGTTCAATTTGACTGGCTCCGGGGGTGTTCTCCCCACCTGTCGCGAGAAGGCGCATTGACAACGGGCTCTACCAACTCGGATTGGTCGGTTTTTGTCGGGAAACACAGTTGACCTACAAGATATAAAGCTTCTGGTCCTCAAACATCTATTCTTGCTGGGTTTGTATTCGGTATCTGGCAAAAGAGATATACTCTTCTGGTTTCTATCAAATGTACGCCAAAAGTGCAACAGGCGCTCTTCGCAGCGCCCGGCGATTCTCCACAATCTCGGCGTCATCGGGCCTCAAGATCAATTCCGAGAGGTTGTGGAACACATTACACCAGACGTGTGAATACGGAGCTGCACATCGATATGGCGAGTATGTAGGAGGACCCCAAGTTCAGGAACAGACATTGATACAAGAGCAGATCCCCAACCGAGACAGGCATGGCGCGTTTAACTCTCAATGATGAGGACGCCCGTGTGCGACGGTGGTTTGCCAAAGAAGTCGAAAAATTGGGATGCTCCCTCTCCATTGACCAGATGGGCAACATGTTTGCGAAGCAGTCTGGTCGACTGGGCTCACCTGCACCAATGATCGCTATGGGGAGTCACCTCGACACTCAGCCCCGAGGTGGCCGGTACGATGGTATCCTAGGTGTGATGGCTGCCCTTGAGGTGCTACGCACGATGAAAGAAAATAATTTCCAGACGAATTACGACGTCGGAGTGGTGAACTGGACCAAGTACGCACACACATCTTCTGGAAACACTCGGATTGTCACTAACAATGATTTCACAGCGAGGAAGGTGCCCGATTCCCCAAATCGATGTGTTCGTCTGGCGTATGGGCTGGTGCTATTCCAATCCAAAAGGCGTGGGACTTGCGTGATATTCACGACTCTAGCGTCACCCTTCGTTCCGAGCTTGAAAGACATGGATATTTGGGCGAGATCGCTTGTTCTAGTGATGCGGCCACCGGATATCCCCTAGGAGCTCATTTCGAATTACACATCGAGCAAGGTCCGATCCTTCCGGAGAACAATCGCTCGATTGGCGTCGTTCGCGGAGCCCAGGGGTACCGGTGGCTGACCATGACCGTTCATGGGAAGGACGCCCATACGGGAACCACACCCTTCAGCGCCCGACAGGATCCTCTGCTGGCGTCTTCGAGGATGATTGCAGCATCCCATGATATCGCCAAGAAGCACGATGCCCTAGCCTCTACGGGCATTATTAAGGTTCCCTCGAATGCCTCTACTAACACCGTCTCGTCGCAAGTGACCTTTACCCTTGACATTCGACACCCACAGGACCATGTGGTTCATGCCGTGCAAGATGAGTGTCTGAAGGCATTTGAGACCATCGCATCCCAAGATGGCAAGGGGGTCTCATTCGACTGGACCTTAGATACGGACTCACCTGCGGTCAAGTTTGACGACGACTGCGTGGCATCTATCCAGGCGGCTGCGGATCAGCTTGTTGGCCGAGAGCAATCTATGCTTATGACCAGTGGCGCGGGCCATGACACGGTATACACCAGTCAACACTGCCCTTCGGCAATGATTTTCGTCCCTTGCCGGGATGGTGTCAGCCACCACCCAACTGAATATTGCAGTCCACAAGACTGGTAAGTTCTACCACCCCCTATTTCCTTTGCTTCTTGGAATTCTGACAGAGACAGTGCTCTCGGTACCCAAGCTCTTCTTGAGGCCGTCGTTCATTACGATCAGTCTCGGGCAAACAAGGAAAATAAATGAGTCTGTTTCATAGGCGTTGATATAAGTTTAGTTTAGATTGTTATTACTATTTTTCATTCACTGTCAAGCATGCTATTTAGCTCAACACTTCCAGAGATCAACACCGTAAGAAGAAGTCAGAAATCCCCCACTTCCACTCTCACTCATGATGTCCTTTGAATCAGATAAATTGGTTTTGTGAGACGATAGGTATATTTCACCGATGTGTGCGGAGCAACTCTAGAAGATGAATGAATTTGGAGAATTGAGTCAAACTGAAGTAGAATTGAAGCTGGAACTGCAAGCCCAACACGGTTACAGTAAAAGTCGAAAACAGTTTCCCCTCCGAAGACACATAAGTTTCTTCTCGACTCGTATAAGAAGGAGCATAGCAGCCCAGTCGGATGGGGCTATTGTACGAAGTATGCCTTACACCCAATTAAGTACTTGTACTTAGGCAGAGCTCACAACGAGGGTTGACAAGCTCCAGATCAGCGCGATCTCCATGATCAAACCCCTTTGATCCACTTCATTTTTTACTTTCAGCTCAGTTCTCCTGCGGAGAGAAACCAATGGTTAATTAGACAGCTTTAGTAAGCCCTGGAGGTGTTGGCAGTTTTACAAGAGGATATTCAGTTTGTCTGACATTTGGAACTTCCATATTGTCATCTTGATGGAAGGTGGCCTTGAAGTCGTTGCCAAAAAAAAGTCCTTTGCCGTACTTTTGGGAGAAACTCTCCACCAAGACTCTTCAGAAAATTCAGAATTGCAATTGTTGTACTCCGTAAAAGAAGCGTAGAGTGGATGTGTCTCCAGAAGGCGCGGCAGACGGCTAAATTGTAATTTCCGCGTCCCCGAAATGTCCTTGGAAGGCGCCCGATGTCTTTAGAAGGCTCGACCTACCACGACTATGTATATTCGATATGAGCTCTGCATACCTTCAGCATTCAATGCACAATCAAAATGTCGCGCCGGTCGATCTACTTCAACCCCGCAGCCGCACATGAGCACATCGCCTCCCCGCAGATCGAAGGGCTAACACAATTCCACCGATCATTTCCCAACTATGCGCCAACGCCGCTAGTCCAGCTACCGGAGCTAGCCAGAGATCTAGGTGTTCACTCTGTTTTCGTCAAAGATGAGAGCAATCGATTTGGCCTGCCCTCTTTCAAAGTCCTGGGTGCCTCGTGGGGGTGCTTCCGGGCGATTGCGGCACAACTCGGACTGGATGCGACAGTTTCCCTCGATGAACTGTCAAAGCAAGCCCGGAATGCCTCGATTGTCCTGACAACTGCATCAATGGGTAACCACGGGAGGGCGGTCGCGTTCATGGCACGATTACTCGGTGTCGAGGCGCGCATCTTCGTTCCTCGATCATTGGACGAGGGCACTCGCAACCTGATTGCTGGTGAAGGCGCCAGAATAGTCGTTGTCCAGGGTGATTATGATCAGGCTGTGCAAGCAGCTTTGAAAGAAAGCCGAGGACAAAACGTGCTTCTTATTCAGGATACTGCCTTTGAGGGATATGAAGATGTTCCTGCATGGATCGTGGATGGATACTCCTCCATGATGACCGAGGTTCAGGAGGAGCTTGCTCGTCTAGGACTCTCCAGCAACATGGTGATTACTCCTGTCGGGGTGGGCAGTCTTGCCCATGCAGTAGTCAAGCATTGCAAATCACAGGACACGCCAATGTCTGTAGTTGCTGTCGAGCCAGACACTGCGGCGTGTCTAGCATCCAGTTTGAAGGCTGGAAAGTCTGTGACAGTGCAGGGCTCTGAGACTATCATGAATGGTATGGATTGTGGCACTGTATCCCTTTCTGCTTGGCCTGATCTCCGCCGGTCGGTCGACGCCTGTGTCACAGTATCCTCCTACGAAAGCCACTGTGCCTTGCAATATCTTCAAGCCAATTCTGTCAATGCTGGACCATGTGGTGGCGCATCTCTCGCGGCTCTTCGACACCTGGCCACCTCCAACACGTCTCTTTTGAACAAGGACTCTGTCATTGTTCTTCTCAGCACTGAGGGCGCCCGGCAATACACAACCCCAAAGGACGTCTCTGCTGATAATGCAGTTGGTTTGACACAGGCTCTGACACAAATCAACTCTTCCAACCCAACCCTCTCCGTCACAGACGGGGTTGGTGAGAATGAGATCGCCAACTACCTTGCAGCTTGGTTTGCCCACCGAGATATCGAGTATCATTGGATTGAGAAGGTTGCCGGAAGACCGTCTCTTGTTGGCGTGCTTCGCGGTAGTGGCGGTGGAAAGTCTCTAATGTTCAATGGCCACACCGATACTGTCAGTCTGACTACTTACGAGACAGACCCACTCTCTGGATCAATCGGAGTCAAAGATGGCAAGGAGGTTGTCTTTGGCCGGGGTTGTCTGGACATGAAGGGTGGCTTAGCGGCAGGATTGGCAGCGCTCGCGGCAACGAAGGCTACGGGGCGCGTCCCCCGGGGCGATGTGATCGTAGCTGCTGTGTCTGACGAAGAGGATAAATCGCAAGGAACACAAGACGTGATCGAGGCTGGCTGGCGTGCTGACGGAGCTGTCTTCCCCGAGCCAACCCAGGGGGCTATCATGACTGCCCACAAAGGGTTCATTTGGATTGATATTGATATCTTGGGAGTAGCCGCTCATGGATCTGACCCTTCATCAGGAGAAGATGCCATCCTCTATGCTGGGTATTTTCTGCAGGCTCTGGAAGAATATCAATCTCGCCTGCCTGTTGACGATCTTCTGGGTCAAGGATCGTTGCATTGCGGCCTTATTCGGGGTGGTGAGGAGCCTTCATCTTACCCCAGTATCTGTACGATCACCATCGAATTCCGCACAGTCCCTGGGCAGACAGAAGAGACTTTGCTGGCAGACATGAAGGCTCTATTGGAAGGCATCGCGCACAAGAAGCCTCAATTCAAATTTGCAGATCCTCGCATTGCGATGTCTCGTCCTACGCAAAAGGTAGCAGTTGACCATCCGTTTGTACAACAGGTTGTTTCATCTTCATCTACAATCTTGGGCAGTGCCCCTGCTGTGAAGAGTGGTCCTTTCTGGACTGATGCAGCATTCTTTGGCGCTGTTGGTGTCCCCTCGATTGTATATGGGCCTGCAGGACAGGGTCTTCACGCAAAGGAGGAATGGGTTGAGGTGGAGAGTCTGCAACAGTTTGAGAGCATGTTCACTCAACTGATACAGGATTTTTGCTACTAGAGATCATCATTTGTTCATGTCAAGATCTTCATGTGCTATTTAGTTTCGTTCAACATTGCAACGCCATGTATATATCCTGGATCTTGTTACCCGTACCGTAAAGGAATTTGGAAATGTATCAAACAGACAACCTTGGCATCAGTGCACTAATATCTCCATAAGACAACATCTTTAAAATTTTAGAATAATATGCACAATTAGCCTTGGGAGTGGTCATTTCTTGGTGTTAAGAGACCAGACCAGTTGAAGTTGACAGAAGGCGGTAGGCCAGTGCGCTTATCACCACGGGATCTGGCCTTGTCAACTGAAGGCCGACAATTCCCATCACCTCTCTCTCTCTGTGTCTCTGCTCAAGTCGCAAGCTCTCTCACAATATGGCTGATGAATCACCAGCGCAGCGATCTGCTCGCCTGCGCCGCGAACGCCGCGAGGCCAAAATCAAGGAAGGAGGCTCAGCGCGCCTGGACAAGATCACCAGTCTGAGTGGACGCACACCACAAGCAGGTACGGATTTGAGCACACCATGACTGCTTGACCAACCTCCATCAACTAGCCATAGAAGGATACTAATGACACTCAACAGAACGCGGGGAAGCTTCTCCCTCACCCCAACCGCCAACACCACAACAACAACTTCGCGCCTCACCAGCCCCGCAGCCAGACATGGAATCCCCAGAAGCCATTCGGGCCCAGCAAGAAGCCTTCTTTTCGATGCTCCGACAGTCCGCCCCAAACCCAAGCCAAGGAGTGCACGCAGACCCTCAAGCCCCGAATTCCATGCAAGCGCAGCAGGACCTGTTCCGAGCCATGTTGAGACAATCCGCACCCGAACAAGGTGCCGGAGAGGGTGCAGGTCCAGACGAGGAAGATCCTACAATCAAGCTCTTGAATTCCCTGATGGGCGCCATTCCAGGTGGTGACCCCAGTGCCATGGGAGCAGGAGCACCATCAGCCCCAGGCGCAGGCGCCCCCGGTCTCGGCTCCTCGCTCCCAGCCATCGCTACGATGCTTGGCGTGCCACCCTTTCTGGCCAATATGCTTGGTGGACTTGGTGGACCTGCACCGACGGAAGCTGAGCAGAAGCGGGCGACAGTGTGGAAGACGTTGCATACCATCTTCGCGCTAGCGGTTGCTGGGTATTTGCTGTTCATTATTGGGTCTTCGGTTGCGCTGTTCGGCAGTTCGCCGCCTCCACCTGCCACTGCGCAGAGTCCTTTTGCTATCTTCGTCACCGGAGAGTTGCTTTTGACAGGGGGGAAGGTGTTGTTTGGTGGCAAGTCCGGGATGGGAATGGCGGTACAGTTGTTCCGGGATGTGGTGAGAGATGGTAGTATTGTGCTTTTTATGTTGGGAATGGGGACCTGGTATAATCGGGAATGGCAGGGCGTGGAACAATAGACTACGCCGGTTACGATCACAAGCGAATTTCACTCATGTCTATCATGTCTTCATTATTCAGTTATATTACTTGTTATCCGAGAGCAGCTCAAGCCACCAGACGCTGAGCCGGAAGGACAGCATTCCGTAGAACGCTCATGGTGGAAGCATCGAATCCCCAGTGACCTTCCCACTCGTCCATCCGAGATCCCTTCTTGAAGTGATCGGCCAGATGCTCGGCACGCTCTGCCCACGTCGACAGGGAACACCCGCAGAAACCACATCGGCTTTCAACGTTTGCGCCCGATCCGCGCCACGCGTCGAGGTCCGATATGGGTAGTTTAGTACAGCCATGGAATTTGCGCAAATGCTGCCACAGATAATCCTTTCGGCTGAAAGACCGCTCTGTGACCGGTTTGGTGACACAGACATTGAAATCATGTTCATCCCAATGGGCAGGTGTTGGAAATAATGTATCGCAAAAGGCACATTCAGATGATTGGAGATCGAAGGCCTGCTGAACGTTACTGAGATCTGGGGTGCATACCCACGAGTCCAAAGTGAGGTGGACACTCTTTTCATGACGGGACCAGTCGTGCTTTTTCTTGAAAGACTGCGCGCAGAATGTACACTGGTAATGATAGTCCCCAGTTGCTCTTTGTCTGCCACGGATTCGCTTAGGTCTCGACGGATTGGGAAGTTGGGATGACAGTCCTGAGTCTCTCAATGAATGATGGCTCCACGCCGAAGAGCCACTGTCGGAGGTTTCTGATGCTTTGCTGCCAAAACTAGATACCGAGGATGCAAGATGCGACGAGCTTTCGTCGAAATCGAAGAACTCCATCCCCGAAGGATCGAATTGGAATGGATCGAAAGAGTCATCCGTGTCTATTGAGTTCGAGATGGCGTTTTGTATCGCTGTTTCTGGCACAGGTTCATCCTCTGGAGGAGAAGCCTGCCATCTTTCCATAGGAGTCAGGGAAGATAATGTGCTTTTGACCATGGGGGACCCTGCTCGGGTACGAGAGGTTGACGGAATGCCTGATGACTGGATTTTCTGTTTCTGACGACGGCGGGCATTCGCAAACCAAGTCGAAATGCGTTTCTGTGAGAATCCAGTGTCCAGCGAGAGTTGATTCTTCTGCGCCTCTGTGGGATACGGGTATTCCTGATTATGATGGAACCATTCTCGGAGCACCCTGGCTCCTTTCCTGACAAATTGCCTGGGCTCTTTTCGTTCTTCGCCGTGCTCTTGATTGGCTCCCATGGCATTTTCATCTTCTGCAACGCCATGCAGATGGCCCAGGACGGGAGAAAGAGTCTCAAAGCCGGATGGATGGCGTTTCTCGCCCTTTGCCAGGCTGCATTCCCGGAACAGAGCTACACAACTCGAGCACGATGTTCTTGGATTCGGGTTTGCAGACGTGGTTCTGATGATTAAGCATTGCAGGCGATGCCTGCGGCAATGTGCGCAGGGAACAGGAGGGCGATAAGCCCCATCAAGCCACTGTGAAACATTTGACAGGTTGGGCTGTTGTTGGGGATACTCCACACTCCCTTTCATTGATAATGGGTCAATGGGGTGGATCATGCCCGGATCCTGAGGCTGTTGATCTTGAAGTTTCGGTTGGACGTAGGGTGAATCATGGTGTGACTCTGAGTTCATCCACTGGGACCAATCTAGGCCGATAGGATCAGACTCATGTGCACTAGGGTCGTGCAGAGGATCAAAGTCGAAGGCATCATGCTGTAGCCACGGTGTTGCTCCATTTGGATCTAACACTCCCTCTAACTCTATGTCTGAGAGAGACGGTGGCAATTGCCACATGTTAGACGATGGCTGCATGTTCATGCCATGTAATTGTGAGTGCTTGTTGAGGCTCAAATGAGGGGGTATATGCTGGAGATTGCGACGCGCACTGTTTTGGCGGAGCAAATAGCTACTCGTACAAGTAGGTCAATGGTCCGCCTAGAGGTCTTGCTCGACCTCGGGCGCTGACCAGACCACACTAGTCCAAATTCGGATTAGACCATCGCTCAATCCCGCGAGTCATGTGATACGAGTCTGGCAGAGACCACGTGACTAAAGAATCTCCCTCAGATCACATGATCTGTATTTACTCGTACGGAGTACTTTGTCCAACTAAATGTCACGAACCTGCTATTTGGCGCATAAGATAGTAGATTATGGAGAGGGAGAGACCCAAACACGTGACCTGCCATCTTTGATCTCACCGTGAAAGTACACTTAACTACTCGTACATGCTGTACTCGTAGTTACGGAGTACAGTAACTAGCTCGGCCTCGGTCGTGGGGCTCAACCCGGACGGGAACGATCCCTCGAGATTAAGCTTATCTCGTACTCCGTACAGATCTGACGAATAGTACAAGCGCGGTTATTTTTGAAATCTGTCTGAAGAAACAGGAACCCAGTGGTTCTCAGGCTGTCACCCAGATCTTCGGAATAGGTGTGCTAGACAACAAGTATGAGTGACATTAGAGTGGGAACTCGGAGGAGGGCGACAACTCCGGGGTGGGGCGGAAATTGAGTTGCCACCGGTGAAAGGTAAAAGTAAGTGGCCGGTGAAGGACTAGAAAAGTCTTTCAAGTCATTGGCATACTACTTGTAAAGATCAAGAGTACGAGTAGGAGTATGAGCGGATAGAAGTCAAACAGGAGACATCCTTGGTGGCTAGGTATGTATGGCACTGTTGAAATCTTGAAGATATCTTACTCCGCACCAAGAGGGCAGCGTCGTATTGCGGGTGCAGCTCGAGTTTCCATCACCACATAAAATCATGAGTCAGCGCCAAGCCCCGCCATCCTCATCTTCCAATTGGCCAATTGCCGGATTCGGACCGAACTGAAACGGCCATTGGATCGTGTGCATCGAATTTTCTATGGAGCTTCTATTAGGCACTCGTGGGATACTGTTTAAGATGGTCCTGGTCCCATCTTTTCTTTCCGTCAACCCCCCTCTCTGCTATTCAACAAGACAGAATGGAGGTCAACACTGCTCCCCCCGTGTATGACCAGGATAAGATTGCTCGCAATGACAATCATCAATTGGAAGAGGACGGACTGCCGAAGTCCGGTGAGGTCCACGATGCTTTTGGTAACGAAGAGTACGCCGAAATCAAGTATAAAACCTTGAAGTGGTGGTATGTATTCAATAATCAAGTCTTTCGTCCGTGCTAGGGCTAACGGGGCCCTCTCCTAGGCAATGCGGTCTACTCATGATCTGTGAATCGGTCTCGCTGGGTGTATTGTCCCTACCATCGGCTATCGCGACCCTAGGATTCGTCCCAGGTATCATTCTCATCCTGGGCTTTGGTTTGCTCGCATTATATACCGGATACAATATCGGCCTCTTCCGCGAACGGTACCCTCACATTCAAAACCTCGGCGATGCCGGCGAGATTCTACTCGGAAGCTTCGGCCGTGAGCTCTTTGGCATTGGACAGTTCCTATTCTTTGTCTTCGTCATGGCGAGTCACCTTCTGACTTTCCGTGTTATGATGAACTCCCTTACCGAACACGGCACCTGTTCCATCGTTTTCAGTGTGGTCGGTCTGGTCCTCTCGATGGCCCTCTCCATCCCCCGTACTATGAAGGGCATGACATGGATCTCTCTCGCCTCATTCATCAGTATTCTCAGCGCGGTCGTCATCACCATGGTCGCCGTGGGTGTTGAAAGCCACCCCGGTCGTGTCATCCAGGCTACCGTCGAGTCGAACCTGTACACAGCTTTCCAGGCTGTGTCCAACATTGTCTTTGCCTACTGTGCGCACGTCGCCTTCTTCGGTCTGATTGCCGAGATGGAGACTCCGAGTGACTTTAAAAAGTCGCTCTTCATGCTTCAGACATTCGAAATCTCCCTCTATCTGACCAGTGCCGTCGTCATCTATTACTATGTCGGCACTGATGTCCAATCACCCGCCCTCACCTCCGCCGGCCCTCTTATGAGCAAGATCGCCTACGGAATCGCCATCCCCACCATTGTCGGCGCGGGTGTCGTCAATGGCCACATTGGGTTAAAGTACATCTACTTCCGCCTATGCGCCAAGTCCGGCCTGATGCACCAGCGCAACGCTCGCTCCATTGGTCTGTGGATCGGTCTCGGTCTTGTTTGCTGGGTCGTCGCTTGGATTATCTGCGAGGCCATTCCTGTCTTCAGTGACCTGAACAGTATGATCAGTGCCCTTTTCGCTTCCTGGTTCAGTTACGGCCTTTCCGGTATATATTGGCTCCATCTGAACCGTGGCCAATGGTTCGCAGGTCCTCGCAAGATCTGCCTTTTCATCATCAACGTCGGCATCGCCCTCTTGGGTTTGGCACTGTGTGTTCTTGGAATGTATGCATCTGGCATGGCTATCCACAACGACAGCAACAGCAACAGTTTCACCTGTGCCAACACTGATGGTTGAATTGCTTCCTTGTTTTTGCTTTTCTGTTTTGCATCTGAGATATTATGCATTGTAAATATGTCGCATAATGATCAGTACGGAGTACACTGGTTGACTCATATATAATGAATACAAAATGAACATTTCACAATCTACCATCCCACGGCATACTCTCATTCTAAATTTCCAACGTTACTTAAGTATCTCTTAGGTCACAAGTGATGGATTCATGGGAAACCTACCAATTACCGGGTCTATAAATGGCCCCATGGATGTAGGCCTGCCGGGGAATCTAGATCGAAGAACCATGTTAATCGGCAGATAAATGGTTACTTTCGGTTTGTTTCGTACTTAACTCCTGTACTCGTCAACATAAAACCTTGAAGGAGCCAGAACGCCTTATGAATGTAGACAGTTCGACTTGATAGGCCAGTGACTTATATGAAACTTTAGAAAAGCCTAACACCAAAGTAGGAATGATGAAGTGTCAAAAACATATGAATGAGCCGTATATGTTATGCTGACGAGCCTAGGCCATTCAGAAGCCAAACTGGGGAGTCTAATAGAGACCATACCACACATGTAAACCTTTGATTTGCCTCGTGTTGTGCCAATTGATCAAGACTTGGACGCAAAAAGCGACTCACTAATACGAGCGCCATCACATGGGAGCGGGGTTGTACAAGCGCGATGTCTATCGGAACTACATGTATACATAACGTGCTTCCGCAGAGGTGAGTTGCATACTCGCCCCAGTCTTTGGATTTCCAAACTCTTGATACTATGCCTTGTCCCTACTGCAAGAGGATCAATTGCGAATGCTCTTCGGATGCGAGTGATTCTTCAGACATTGAGGGTCCAGACGAATAACCCTTCAGTGCTTTTGTGAGTATTCATGTAATCTGTGATTTCGCTCAGTTGAACTCCAGGGTCTAATCCCAAATAGTTCGCATATGGAACGTTGGATACCAGGGAGACAGTTCGGGGGACTCAACCACGCGAAACAGCGATTTAAATGATGGAAAATTGATGTTAATGAACTGAAAGTTATCCTGCGATTGGCAGATTCTTCTCCATGTACCTCAAACCCAAGTCAGCGAAGGGAATATTGCGATCCCAAATAAACATGAACATGATTAAAAGCCTGCTTCCATTCCCAAGCCTACGAAGGGGCAGGCCAGATCGACAGCTCCGGTGGGGCAGTGGGCCTTGGAAATGACGAGGATTGGTTGAATATGTGACAGGATCCACTTGTAATAAAGATAAAAAGCCTGGTTGGCCGAGTGGTTTAAGGCACTGCGGGGGCGTACCAACCCGGGAGCGTGCACCCATAAGCGAAGGCCCCGAAGGTGTTGGCGCGTCCTCCAGAGACCCCTGGTTCGAATCCAGGATCGGGCATTCCTTTTTTTTCTTTTTCTTTTCTTTTCTTTTTTTCTTTCTCTTCCTTTTCCCAAAAACAATGTCTTCATTTGGCATAGGCAATGTGATGGTAATTCATATATCTCAGTTTCCTGCCTGCCAGAAGCCAGGCAATGCAAGAGTTAGGCAGATTGGGCCATCATCCGACTTGGCCGCTCTGCCCCTGCGTACCAAGTCACTGATTATATGCAGGAAAAAGGATGATTTCAACAGGCAAATATGTATGATAATCAGTATGTGATAAGGAGATTCTTGTTCATGTGTCGCGCGTCGGTATGCAACACGAGATGCTCTGCCAGCCACCTGCCTGCATCTTCCCGGGAGATACTGTAGCCAACCACATCCGACACTGGGCCGTTTGTAGGATCTTCAATCCCCACCCGAATAGTCTTGTCAGACGCGCCATCGGTAAGATGACTGGGCCTGATGATCGTGAAACTCTCCCCACTCGCCGCAATGCGGTCTTCCATCACAACCTTATCCGCGCCGGGCACCCGTACAAACAAAGCATATATAGGGATCATCGCGAGAGGGATATTGCGGCCAAAGCGTGAGAAGCCTGCAGTACTGCATGCAATGATATGTGGGTTACCCTTGATCCCACTACTTCGCAGTTGAGCGAGCGCTTCGAGCAAGGTCGCTGCGCCCTTCTTGCAGACATCTGGGTCATCAACGGTCATTTTCAGTGGGATAGGCTTGGCCCCGATCGTGGTCACGATCACGTCGACGATGCGATTGTCGGTTTGGAGGCATTTTGCCACTGCAGCCACATCGTGTGCATTTCCTTGAATGATTTCGAGGTTGGGATTTGACCCTGGCGGAAAAGTTTTCTCGAGTTTGGAGGGATCACGACAGAGTGCCAGGCATCGATAGCCGGCGGCGAGGGTGTGTTCAAGGGCAGCTTGGCCAATACCGGTGCTGGCACCCAGGAAAGCGATGACTTTGGACATGTAGGAGATGTTCACGCTAATGGAGTGTTGAATAAATATTCAATGCAACGTTCACAGAGAGATTTTTGGGAAACTCCCCCCTTTAAATACATTTGGGGTGAAATGATAAAGAGGCGCAAGTGTGATGTGGACATTCTCGCGCTTTTCTCGCGGTCAGCACCGGCGGGTGAGGCACAAACACCTCACAAATCCCGGAACTTCAACCACCTCGCCTTGAGGCTGTGGAGGCGAACCGCGCCTGCTGCATCTGCTGCATCTGCTGCGTCAGATCACATATCAATAGTCTAAAAGCTCGAAGTGCGAAGTGCGAAGCTCGTATGTCAGGGCCTGGAGCAGTTCCGGCAGGGGTACCCTCGGCCTTCGAGGCCGAGAAACACGCGAGACGGGACTCGGGCAGGGACAAGAAGACCCCCAAGCTGCGCAGCTGTGTCGTTTGCCGAAGTCGAAAAGTACGATGCGACAAGCGAGCGCCTTGTTCTAATTGCCGTCGCGCCAACATCGCCTGTGTGTTTCCCCCCACCGATCGCCCACCAAGATGGGCTCGACATCTTGACCAAAGCGCATCATCCGAACGAGCCGATGGGGTCGCCGATGGGGTCATGGAGAGACTGCATCACCTCGAGAAACTTGTTGCAGACCTCAGTAGCCAGTTGGAACAGACCAAATCGGTAGCGCCTTCAGCTGGTGGTTCCTCGGTGGGCTCCCCGGAGAGCTCCGCAAAAGATCGACCCCCAAACCTTTCGGCGGGTAACGAGTCTATGCATACTCAGCTTGGAAGACTCGTGATACAGGATTCCAACAGAAGTCGCTATGTCAGTAGTGGTTTTTGGTCCCGGGTGAATGATGAGGTGCGTGTGGGCGTGGGAGGTGCTGAGCCAAACTCATGGCTGATCATACTTGCAGCTTGATAGTCTGAAGTTCGACGCCCATAACCTCTTTGCAGGGGGCTATGCGAGCTCAGACGGTGAGTCTCTACCAGATGAGACATCTTCTACATGGGGGTCCGAACAAACACATGCAGCGCGCCATGGGTTCCTATTTGGACACAACTTGAACTCTTCTTCCCCCGACCTCGATAATTTACATCCACTGCCATCTCAGATCCCTTTTTTGCTAGATCTTTTCTCCGACAATGTTAACATGATCCTTCAAGTCGTTCACCTTCCCACTGTGCGAAAGATGGTTCGTGATTGGCGCGACCGTGACATGAAGGGGCTTACTCCGGCCCAAGAGGCTTTAATGTTCTCTATTTATTATGCAGCAATAACCTCTATGGAGGATGAAGATGTGAGTTTTTATTTCAGGGGTCTGAAACAACGAGGCTTTGTCGAACTAAACATGCTTATGCCCAGACAATTCGAAACTTCGGGACCACCAAAGCCGAGCTGAGTCTCAGGTATCGCCAAGGTCTGGAGCACGCTCTAGCCAGAGCTAACTTCCTAGGTGCACCTGACTTGACTTTAGTGCAGGCATTCGCCATCTTTCTTGGGTTGCTTCGCCGATATGAGAGCCCGGCGTTCGTGTGGATGATGACAGGACTGGCAATCCGGATGGGCCAGGCTCTAGGGCTCCACCGAGACGGATCACACTTCGATCACTTGAGCCCATACGAGGTTGAGATCAGACGCCGCGTGTGGTGGGTCCTCTGTATATTGGATGTGAGGGCCTCGGAAGACCAGGGAATGGATTATACCATACCAAGTGCGGGCTTTGATACTAAGATACCTCTAAACCTCAACGACAGTGATCTAGACCCCCAGTCAAAGGAGATGCCTCCAGAGCGTGACAGCCTGACCGACATGTCCGTTGCACGGGTCTCCTTTGGTATATGTGAAGTGACGCGACAGATGATGGCCCATGGGTTCCAAGAGAAGGCCCCAACTCCGGAGAAACAGAGTTCTTTACTTGACGATATGTTCCAAGGCGTTGAGCGTGAATACCTTCGTTATGCGACCGATTCAGAAAACATTACATATTGGGCGATTGTCATTGTCACCCGGCTCGTGATGGCCAAGATGTCCTTGCTTGTGTACTTGCCGCTTTTGTTCTGCACTTCGAAGGAGGATTTTTCAGAGGAACTCAGAGCGCGACTGTTGGTCTCCGGAATTGAAGTCGCAGAGTACAACCATGCGCTCAACAGTGAACGAGCTTGTCGACAATGGCGCTGGGCTTTCCAGACTTACACACATTGGTACTCAATCGTTTTTATGATGCTCGAAATCTCCCGAGCTCCGTGGTCGCCGATTTCAGAGAGAGCTTGGGTGGCCTTGCATAGTGTTTGGCTAATCCCGACCCGATCTCACATGGACAAAGATCTGCGCATATGGATTCCCTTGCGCAAACTGATGAGCAATGCCCGAAAGCATCGTCAAGCGGAAATTATCCGTCTCGCGAACGATACCACAGAAGCACAGCGTTTAGAGTACGAGTACCGGAATTTGCCAACCCCGTCAAGCTCAGGACCTTTTCCAGTGGGCTCCGATTCCGCAGACCAATTCCTTGAGAGGTGGCACCGGCTGATTCAGCCTCAAAGCGACGAGAGCCAGACTTTTGATTTGGCTGAACTTGACGGCGCGTATATCGCCCAGTTGCCGATCGACTTTCCAGACCATACCCAGCCACTTGCCCAACCAAAGGCCGCCTCTTTTGTCTCTGGTATGAGCACAACCCGTAACACCGAGGAAAAGAACCCTACCAGGGACCATGGGCGCTATCCTCGTGTGCCAGCCTTGTCGTGCGACGTAGCTACAAGTATGATCCCCGGGGCAGGCGAGACCGTTTCCTCGCTATACAACCCAACACCAGGCCCACAAGACACCAAATGTACCGACCATGTAGTTGACCCTTGGACCTGGTCCGATGGAGGCATTGCTGTGGAGGATCCAACTACGGTCGCAGAGCCGCCAGATCCCAATATCGACATGGACGAGGACATCAACTGGTATCGCTGGGTCGAGTCTGCCCAGGGAGTGGAGTGGGATGTCAGTGATCAGCAGAGCCACAGCTGACCCCAAATCGATGGAGCCTATTCATCCTCTTCTCTATTTATAAACTTAAGGCATGTCCAGAGGGCTGTGCAAGGCATCAATCAACTATGAAGACGACTCGGATTCGGCCCGTCCTGACCCAGTCGAATTAAGCTTGTTTGGACAGTTGAAAGACCAGGCTGCTTAATTTTGTCTAATTCAGCACGGACGGGCAGATCCCCTGCTGAAAGGGAAACATCTTGATCCCGCGTCTTGGCGCCACATGCCGCGGATTGGCCGCCAGCCTCGTGAATATGCAAGCCACGCCTTGGAGATCACCTCTGATTGGATCAATTGATCCTATCTGCTGCATGGTCAGAGAAGGCTTGTTTTAGGCGCCAATCAGATTGCAGCGCCCCCAATGCAGTGCCCACCTGAAATTAGCAGCGACAGGTATTTGCGATGGGAGCTGACAGCTTACAAGTATTCACGTATTAAAGGCAAACTGAAAGCCTCAAATCTCAGTCAGCATGTAAGCCTGGGGTTTCCTTTCTTTCTGATTTTTTTTTCTTTACGGAGTATCTTTCACTTTATTATTATCCTTCTTTTGGTTACGGATATCCATCTGCAGAACTCTGGGAGGGTTAGATAGGCCGCTTGGTCGTCCCCATGGTGATGGAGCTAGGATTTCGCGAGCGCGTCTCTCTAGCTGGGATAGTCGTTCTCCTCTGCGTCTGGTATTCCTACAAACGCCCGTTATCAAAACAAGAGAGTGAACAAACAACATCGGTGAAAAACGTCTCCCCAAAAGAAGATGTGAGTGATGCGTTCCGTGAGCGCGCATTTGTATAGCTGACGATTATGCAGGAGTTTGAAAACCGCCCTCCGATCGACGTATTGTACCCTAGTCCCAATTCTCAGGACGCAGAGGAAGCGGAAGTAGAGTAAGTACGACCAGGAAACGCGACGCGAAGAGGTGCTGATCAATTCCCTAGCATTGTTGCTGTGCACGGCCTAGGCTCCCAGGCAGATTGGTCATGGACCTGGAAGGACGAAACCCAAGCCAATGGTAAGCCACGGCTGGTGAATTGGTTAAAGGACAAGAACATGTTGCCTAGCGTGGTGCGCAAAACAAGGATACTGTCGTACAACTATGAGTCGAGATGGCACAAAAATGCCTCCAAGACACGATTGCAAATCTGCGGCGAGGAACTGGTGAATGCAGTCCACGATTTTCGCAAAGGCATCAGCGATCGGCCCCTCATCTTCATCGGACATAGTCTGGGCGGAAATGTGATTCAGCATGTGAGTAAAATCCTCTTGTTTGTCCCAGTCCCTGACGCACCCTCTTACTTGGAATACGTAGGGTCTGATGTACTCGGATTCTGAGCCGAAGTTTCAGTATTTGGTCGAGGTCACAGTTGGCCTAATCTTCCTGGGCTGTCCGTTCAAAGGATCCAAGATCCAGGAAATGGCGTCTGTGGTGACCAGCTTTTTGCAGGTCGCTGGATCTGACAGCGGCATCATAAGAGATCTCCGGTATGGAGACCCTGTCTTGTTGGACAAGATAGATGTGTTCCAGCGGCTTCTGGAGAGGAACACCATTCCATTCTGTGCTTTCATTGAACGCAAAGAGACGGACTACGGGAAGAAGATAGGACTCACCGGTATTTGGAAGGAACTGGTTTGTTTCACTCCATTTTTGACGACGTTGGGACTCTGATGTTGATTGATTTCCAGGTTGTGGACGAAGAGTCCGCCGGGGCCTTGGGGCCACACAAATTCCACCTCAATACGGATCATTTCAAAATCAACAAGTTCTCTGGACCACTTGATCGATCTTTTCTCACGGTCTCTTCTCAGATCAATGAGATGTTTACCAATTGGAAACCACTAGTTGAAAGTCGAAAGGCTGGGTCAAACCGCCCCGGAGCTCAGAGAAAGTTGATGGAGACCAAGGAGCGGCACGAGAAGATCGTGCAATTCCTGGCAAAGTTCGACTTCTCCGCGCGATACCGCGACGTGTTCTCTGCTAGACACAAAATGACAGGCCAGTGGTTCGTGGAAGCTGAGACTTTCAAGACCTGGGTGGACAGAATCGGGCAGCGCCTTTGGTGTCCCGGTATTCCCGGCGCAGGGAAAACAGTCCTGCTCGCGGTTGCAATAAACCATCTACAGGAAAGGTTTTTCAAGCCAGATGAAGTTGTTCTTTTCGCGTTTTGTGATTACAAAGACCAACAAAACCAAAGTGCGGAAAACATCCTGCTTTCGCTCTGGAGGCAGCTGATGCAGAAGCGCGTGCTCGGTGAGCTCGAGTGTGAGTATCTTGAAACGACATACTTGAAGAGAGGAGTTTTTCCCACGACCGACGCCCTGGTAAAACTGCTCTCCGATGAAATTAGCAAATACTCACGCGTCTTTATCCTCCTGGACGCTCTCGATGAGCTTCGTACCGAAAACCGTGATTCGCTACAATATCTTCTGCGACAACTACCAGCAAAGATTAATTTGTTGATGACATCGCGTGTACCCAAAGAGACCACCTTGGAGTTCCGGGATGTCCCCCAGCTCGAGATTCGCGCGAGAGATAGGGATATTACGGACTATATCAATGGCCGCCTGGATTCTGTCTCAAAACTGCGCTCCAAGGTGGAACATAACCACAAGCTGAAAGAGGAGATCAGGAGCACTATTACGAAGAAAGCCGACGGAATGTGAGTGATAATATGGTCACTCGATATCTACTTACGCTAACTTGTTGCTTCAGGTTTCTGCTTGTCAAGCTCCATCTGAATTCATTGGCATCCAAACATACAGTCAAGGAGATGAGAACTGATTTGAGGAATCTGCCGGAAGGAGAGAATGCCATATCAGACACCTATGAAGGTGCTTTTTCTCGCATTCGCGATCAAACCCGCGAAGATCGCGAGCTTGGAGAGAAGATCATCATGTGGATCTCCCATGCGCAACGGCCGTTGACGATGAAAGATTTGCAATCAATCTTAACCTTGCAAGAAGAAGATACGGATTTAGACTTCGATGACTTGATCCCAGAGGAGTTTCTCGTCTCTACCTGCGCCGGTCTGGTCACTGTTGAAAATCTCTCCGGGAGAATTCAATTCGTACACTCTACCGCACAGGAATTTGTGGATTCCACCAAATCAACAAGGTACCCCGACGCGGACCTGAAAATCGCACATTCGTGCCTTCACTATCTATCGTTGTCAATGTTTTGCAGAGAGACAAAGGAAATCCATACCACATCCTTCACGAAGACTGTGTCTCGCTACCCATTTCTCGAGTATGCGGCACTGTTCTGGGGGATCCACGCGGGACATGCGGAGAGCGTGACGGCCAAGTCTTTGATCGAGAAATCAGTCAGAAATTTGTTCAACCTCAGGCTGCAATCTGCGTTTGCCATCCGGACCCTGCTGTGCGGCGTGGCGGGGATTGATGGCGCTGAGATGGGAGACAATCTGGCACGGAATGACCGATCTGTCAAACTCATCAATATCATGGCCTACTTTGGATTGGACTTTATCGTCTCTGAGTTGATTTCTAACCGACCAGAAACCATAGTGGAATCATTCGACCACTTCGTCGGCAATGTCCTACATTGGGCAGCTCTTGGCCAACACGACACTACTTTGAGACTCTTGCTATGCCATACCTCCGCTGGTGATGTGTTAAATCAAAAGGGATACAGCGAGTTTACCCCGCTTCATCTGGCTCTGGTTTACAGACGAGATCTTTCCGCCGAGATCATCCTTGACTATGGGCCTGATGTTCAGGTGAAAGCCCATTTCGAACATACGCCTTTGCTAGTGGCGTCTCTCACTGGAAACAGTGGTATCATCCCCAAGCTTCTCTCAGCTGATACAGAGAAGAAAACATTGCTGATGCAAGGACATGGATCAACGACTCCCTTCCGCGCGGCTGCCATGTGGGGGCATAAGGACGTGATGGTCGAATTACTACGAGCCTTGGAGGGATGTGAAATCAGCGAAGAATTATATGAGCTGAGAGATGACCTTTGGAGAAACCCAATGCACCAAGCAGCTGAAGGTGGCCACCTAAGCGTTTGTGAAGTGTTGCTCCGGTCCAAGCATGGTGTGCAGCTTGCGACAAGTGAGGATGAGTGGTCAATGATACCAATGGACCTGGCCATCTTGCATGGTCACGTTGAGTTGGCTGAGCTTTTCCTGAACTGGGATAACCGAAGCTTGCTAGCCAATGATCCTGGCTCCGTTGCGGGAGCACTCACCTTGGCCGCTCATTTTGGACAGCCTATGGTCGCAGATATGCTACTGGCTCGGCACCCGGAGGCTTGTGCGTCGGACTTCCGCAATTTCACACCTCTTCATCACGCGGCCTACAGTGGCTCAGTTGAAACTGTGAAGGTGATCATGGGATTTCCCGCCGGTATCTCAACATTAGAAGCCAGAGATAAGTCTGGGAACACACCTCTTGTGGGAGCTGCTGCCCGGGGACAGGCGGAGACCGTGGAATATCTTCTCCAAATGGGCGCTGACATCAATGCCAAAGATGAAAACGAAATGACTGCATTACATGTTTCCTGTCAAAGAAATCTTGACCAAGTGGTGAAGACGCTTCTTCTTCGGAGTGATTCTGATATTGACTTGGATGCCAAAACATCAGAAGGAAAGACAGCACTTGCCCTCGCGATTGAATCTCAGGTCCCAGAGGCAGTCAAGCTGCTCCTCAAGAAGGGAGCAAAGATTCCCGACGGAGTAGACCTGCCTGAAAGTATTGGAAAGTTGGAACAGTACTACCCGGAGACACCAGTCGACCAACTCAAAGCATACTTCTATCTCAAGCAAGCCTCGAGACAAAAGCTTTCTCAGCCTTTGATCTCTAACATTTTGGATCTTGCAGAATACTGGATAGTCAACAAAACCGAGCGCTACGAGTCAAAACTAGCTACTAATCTTGACGGTGACACATTGGTCTACTTGCGAAGTCCTCCAGTCCAAGGGAATCTCCACCACCCCGTCAGACGGATTGAATATGAAGTCATCAGTCACGACCAGGGATTCAGTGGCGATTACCACGTGCACGGAACATATGAATGTTCTCACACTTGGTTTGATGCGAGTCGTGAGTGCAGTCCCGGTCCCTTCCACGGCTCGGCTAGCCGGCTGTTGGGGCCGATGATGTTGCGAAACGTCCACGCCAGGAGTGATTGGCACACGCATCGTATAACATGGTGTTGCATTCGCGGTGCAAGAACCGTCCATGTGCGCACGGATGACGAAACGAAGGAAGAGATTGAAGAGGCTGTGACGACTGTTCAGCCCGACCATCGAAACCCGAGGCCCGAGCCGGTCAAATGGATCACGGAAATCAATCCAGGCGAGCGACTTCTGATGACGGCCATGGCCCAATTCCCAGGATGGGCTAATTATGTACAACGCGCCAAGATTGTTGTTTATACCAGTTGTCTTAAATCCAGTGGTCTTTATTAAAGCCACGAGGATGTTGCACATGTACCATATGCATGGGGATAGACCCCTTCTGTTCCTTTTAGCGATGAGTTATGCCTTTTTTTTTGCCTCCATGTTTGGCCACAACAATTTACCACAAACTTTCACAAGAAACGTGGCAACTTGCGTGCTTCCCATCCAAAGTTTCATGAAACTTGTATATATTGGAAATCATGTGCGATGTCTACTTGTATTCGAGTCTAGGGACCTCGGGATGATCGTGTGGGTCATCCCTGATCCCTGATGACGCACCCCTGAACAGTCAATTGGAACAGTCCTAGAGAGCACAGGGTTGCGACAATTCGTCACAATTAAGATTATTTTCAAACCCTCATCAGATGTCGAGCTCAAGGCTCTGTCTTGCCAAATACGACGGGTCCACACGAATATTGCGACAGTTCGCACCGTGGCAAACTACTCGTACAAGCTTCCACGCCAAGGCACTTGATCTGCAATCCGTGTTATGTTCAGTAGCAGATCCTGTGGAGCTCATTCTCGTGTAAGACTTTGTACTACTAATTAACTAAGCATGTTTACGGCAATAATTGAAGTCTACAACTTGAACGGAATCTAACTTCAGGAGACACAGGAAATTTTGGTTACACTTTTTCTATTGGACGCTGCTCCTCACTCTCGTTGCAGTTCTTTATTTTTTCTAATCCTCTAGTAAATTCTCTAGTTTTTCTCACAGCTGCAAAGGATCTCAAAGCACAAACAGAAAACGAAATGACAGGCGGAGGGAGGTATAATGAATCAAAATCAGAAGGAGACTGTGCAAGCCAGGTCAAGGTGCTCAGCCGACAACTTGAGCTGTCTGCAGTGGAGCATGCGACTCAATACTATTGCCAATGGGAGAGTCAGGGAAAGCTGCGTGCACAGGAGCCTTCTCCACGGGTCCACCCAAAGCATTGAGCACTTGCTCCTTGGTGGCATCACCCAGGCCTGCGGCCGTGAGAGTCCTGCCATTTTCGAAATAGTCGAATCCACTGACAATCTGCGCCATTTCGATGAGCGCCCTGATGGTCGGCGATGTCAGACCGACCTTCATGCCGAGCTCATACCAAGGGACCAATCCATAGAGGATGTCTTCAAGGAGATATCGGTGGTTCAAGGAGCTGGGAGAGCTCTTGGTTTTGTTGTGAACAACAGACCCCGATGCAAACTCATGGTAGTCGCTGTACTGTCGGGGGTTGCTGTAGTTCTGGTTCATATAGGCAGTGATAGGGGTGATTTCAAGACCATAGGCATGAGCAATGGCAAGACGCTCCAGATCCAACTTCTCCGTCACACGGGAGACGGAAGGTGACATTCCCTGGGCATAGAAAAAGAAGTCGCCCTTGGTGGCTTCAATCCAGCCCGCGTTCATGAGGACCGCGGGACAATGGACGACCGGGTTCACATTGTTGAGTCCGACCTCCAGCAGGTTGGTGCACCAGTTCAGCTTCTGGGAAAAGATCGACTCGACTTGTCGACGAAGGCCGAGTTCGGCCTGTGGGTCAAGTCGATCGACTTGGGTAGTCGGTGGCTCGGCCCAGATGGCCAGGCTCTTCTTGCATCCCTTGACAAAGACAGTGTCTCCGGTGATGCGAACGGCGTATGGGGAGATGTCGGTCTCGAGGATGCAGTGAGCGTTGACCTTTTGGCGAGCAGAGAGGTAGAAAAAGTTGCCCACGTTGATAACGAGGGTGTGTTTTCGGAGGTCGAACTGACTGAGCAATGTCAAGATCGTATCCTGGCCGTATGAGGGGACCGTGGTAACGAGGAAAGAGGAGTGACGGATGGCGAGGTACAGATCACTTGTGGTTTTGATTTGATATCTGCCACTAATCTCGCCATCGGCATTGAGCCAGCCACCATTCTTCTCGATCATATCAGTTCCACCTCGGTGTTCGGGATGGGCGTAGAGCATGACATCCTTTCCCCGACTGGCGAGGTCTGCTGCAAAGGCACACCCACAGGGACCAGCACCGATGATAGTGACGGTAGGTACGGAGTCAAAGTTTTGAGAACTCATATTCGCTTCGATTTTTGAGTGGAGGATTGATTGATGTTTGAGGAATGCAAGTTTTGGAAAGATTCGGAGGATTCGGGGGTTTTCTCTTTGCTTGATATCAAAAGCTAGGAGGTAGACTGCTCTTAAATACTGCTGTCCTGGGTCGAGATAGACCCCAACGAAAGTCTCATATGTCTCAAGATGGCAAGAATCGCTCCCCGTCCTCTCGTTCCGAGTCGTGTTTACTGTGATCTATTCCTATAGATTCGCTTGGCGAAAATCTTCAACATTCGTCATGCCAATCCTCTTGGCGAGTAAGTACATACGTGACCCTGCGAGTTGCATGCGTACCTCGCATTGCGCGGACCTATGAAAACTATTGAAGCTGGGATCAACCATGGTGTGATTCCAGGATCAACGCTGACTTGTTGCAGTTAAACATTGGGACCTTGTGCACGGGGAATAGTGCAGATCTCAGGGAGCTTGTCGTTGAGAAAGGCTTGGTACAAGCTTCCCAGGCCAGGGGATCATTGGTCATATTCGAGAGCCATTACTCAATAGAAATCGCAGATCATCTTGAAATTGAGTCTAGGAATATTTTCGGCGTCTAGCCAGACGATCAGGGACGCGTGTTTCAGGTGATAGATCGAGATTTTGAGTGTTTCTTTACCTGTTTGGCTTGAGTCTCTTCAGATTCTGCATCAACTTAGGGTTTCACGCCAGGGACCCTTACGAGTAGTGACAACGGAGCACAGTCATGCATTAGGTACTTTGGGCATTAAACCCCCGATATCGCACGGCATTTGAGTGGAAACAGGTGCATATTATCAATCGATCTGATAATTTTTACTACACTAACGTTCACAGCCACCCGGGAGCAACATATTAGTGGGACGATGCTAGTACTATTGGGGCGGGTAAATCAGGGGAGATCGCTGTGGGCCATCCACTATTACGGGACCATCGCATGAGCTTGTCCAAAGGTCCCTGAGCCTTTGTTCGAGCCCGAATGGAACATCCACCGAACATCAACCCACCAAGGACCCAGGAGGTCCCGAGGTCCCCCCTGGGGCCGTTCCCGACACACGCGCCCGAGGCGTAGTTGCCGAAGCGTCGCCAGCAGCGCTTCTACTCGTACCTCCGTACAGAGAGTATTTTCGACACGGTAATGATTTCCGGGATTTGCACTCCTCAGCCATCGTTTCCATGTAGATCGAGTCGAGACTTGACATCACACCCCTCAACCTCCTACAAACTTTGACTGTGGAACCCCCCGTGGACCTTTGCATTCTCTGCCTTTTACTCGTAAAATTTACATACGTCAGCTCAGTTGCTTTCTTTTTTCAACAGGATTTCTTTTGCTCCGATGGAAACGCTTGTTCTCAGTAACAAATACATGGTAAAGGGGTTCGCAAGAACCTCTCCATTCAATTAATTGTCCGATTCGGTTCACTCCAGTCACTCTTTTCTTGGACATCTCAATCCGAGAATGAGCTCGGAAACCACTCCTTCAGAGGCTGTGCCTCCATACAGCTCCTTCAGTACGGCCAAAAAAAGGTACATCGTGGCCACTGCGGCTGGAGCTGGTCTATTTTCTTCTTTGTCTGCGCAAATTTACTTTCCGGCCTTGAACACGTTGGCCGATGATCTCAACGTGTCAACGTCCTTGATCAATTTGACTGTGACTAGTTACATGGTGAGTGCTCTCCTGGCATTTATCCTGGGTTTCATCTGGTTATAGATGCTAACTGGGAGCCATGAAATAGATCTTCCAGGGCATTGCGCCCATGTTTATAGGAGATTTTGCAGACAGAACCGGCCGTCGACCCGCATATATCATATGCTTTGTGATTTACATTGCCTCCAACATCGGACTAGCCTTGCAAGATAGCTACACAGCTCTCATTGTCTTGCGATGCTTGCAAAGTTCCGGAATCAGCAGTAGTGTGGCATTGTCCGCTGCCACGGTCGCCGATGTCAGCACCAAACAGGAACGAGGCTCCATGATGGGCTTTGTCATGGCGGGGAACTTCATGGGTCCTGCTATTGGGCCAATTATTGGTGGTCTATTAGCCCAATATTTGGGGTGGAGGTCCATTTTCTGGTTCCTTACAATTGCCTCGGGTGTGTTCCTGTTGCCCCTCCTGTTCTTCCTCCCCGAGACCGCTCGCAATGTTGTCGGAGATGGCTCATTGCCTGCGCAACCGTGGAATCGACCATTCATTCAATATCTTCGGCCTCGGGACGTGAGGGTGAGTAAGGACACGGGCTCGTCCACGGACAGTATCGACAGGCCGGACAGCCATGACTCTCCTAAGAAAATTGAGCACAAGCTACAGTTCCCCAATCCACTGAAGCCACTGATCCTTGTGTGGCATCCAAATTCAATTATCATTCTTCTGGTGACTGGTGTCATCATGGGCGGTAACATGACTGTGCTTTCCTCCATCACGGAGATCTATACGGCTCAATACGGCCTGGATGAGCTTGAGATCGGCCTCTGCTATATCACACTAGGCACTGGGTCTATTGTCGCCTCTGTGATCACTGGACGTCTCCTGGATTGGAACTACAAGCGCATGGCGGCGAAGCTGGCCAGCGATCCCACCTCCGAGCACGTCGGCACAGCGGACTCGGTCCCCGTCGAAAAGTCCCGGAGCATGATCACAATCCCACTTGTGATTCTGGGCAGTGTGACTGTGCTGGCTTTTGGTTGGGTACTCAAATTCGGAGAGCCTCTTCCCGCGCCCGAAGTGCTCTTGTTCTTCGTTGGCGTCGGACAGACCGGTGGATTTATTTCTACATCTACTCTGCTGGTAGACTTACACACTTCCAACCCTGCCGCTGCCACAGCGGCAAACAACATGGTTCGATCGTTCTTTTCGGCTGGAGCATCTGCCGCGATTGATCCCATGTTGACAGCCATGGGTCGCGGGTGGGCATTCACGTTGGTAGCGTTTATTCTCTTGTCTACAATCCCATTCCTGCTGTTGCTTTGTGGAATGGGGCGTAAAAAGGAGTCTTCAGAGAAATTAGAAAGCTCTGCAGAGAGAGCAGAGGTCCCTGCCTCTCCCCAAAGGGTGGAGGACTAAACGTCATCTGGGTATGTTGGCATTCATGCGGTGGCCGAGAGCTCTAGTGAACATTCATCTGAGTTTTCGAACAAGCCGTGCATTCAAATTTAACTCGGCTTCATTTCAATATCGGTTACAGAGTATCGCTGAAGCTAAATTCTTCCCATCAATTTCTCTTTGGGTATTCTGTGAATCTCCCAAGGTTGTAGAGATTCCTCCCGACGTTCTAACCTAATACCAGTGAGAAAAGGGGCCTCGACTAGATCTACATTGAGGAGCTGAAAACTTCAATTTTCAAATCTAGATGATCTAGATCGTATCATACTTCATGGGCACTGAAATTCTAAAGTTTTCTAGGTAACTTCCAAGGCTTACAACGTAGGAGTCTAAACTTGGTCGGAACTACTTAGTATGGCGTGCGACCTCCAGAGATTGGAAGCCTTGGAATAATGTTAATATTAGAAACTATGCACGAATTCATCCATAGCAAGCTTAAGTGACTCTTGAAACCTCCGGGGCTCTAATCAAAAAAATATCAGCATGCAAAAATTTTGGACCTTGGAAGGTTGATGACAGAATCCAGACGTGACCCAGCGTCAGCATATATTTCGACCTTGAGAATGATCCATTTACCCAGTGCTCCAACTTTAGAAGTCGGGCTATTTTCAATCAATCATCCATGGATTCGACACCGTTAGTTCCAGTTCTAACGCTCTACTTAATACAAAGGCCTCTAGAGCCAGGGCCTACGACTAGTTGAGTACGCAACGGAGTAGGCTTCGAGATTTGATATATTCACGGATATGATGATCTTTTCAAAAACATAAAATGAGTGCGTTTTATAGATGCAGGTCATAGACACCTCTGCCCACGTCCAGCACTGGACTTTCACTTGAGCAGGAGGTCTACAGATACCTGGCATACCGATATATATCGTTTCTAACTTTAGAAAGTTCCGGAGCATTCCTGAAGTCCCAGCAAGCCAAAATCCATGGATCTTTAACGAGGCCACAGACCAAGATTACCTAGTGTTCAGTATTGAACACCTTCCGACGTTGTAAATCCAAGTCAAGTGTAACCTTGAAAAGCTGACATGAATAATGATCCACCGACTTCAGGATGGACGACAAAAAAAAAACCAATCAAGCCAGCTGTACAGAACATTGGTTCGGAGATCTACAGAAGCGGAAAAAGAAACGGAAACACCTGCTTAAATGGGCACCTGAGCAGATCTCAGAGGGTCTACAGGTCCCGAAGTCCTGAAGTCCTGATGGCGCAGGCTCGGGCACCGAGATTCCACAATCATTTGTGAGCATATCTATAGATGCCGAGCTATTTAAGTATCGAGCGCTGGAGATTATGTTTTGACATTTTTCCAATGGCAATTAACTTTAGAACACTCTTAGCGGAACGGCTTGACCCGAATTGGCTCGATATTTTGCATCGGCCAAGACACAAACAAACAGGATGATCAGCCCAACAAGGGTTAGCGCCGAACTACCCCTGCAGGCCAAACAACTTTCGGCGACAGTCTCCAACTGGCGATGAAAGACTGAGGGGATTCGGTTCAAGGCTTGCAGCTTTAAGTCTACGAGTAAAGTCGCGGCCTGTCGGGCACCAACTACTCCTAGTCGACGTAAGCCATTGTCTCTCCTAGGAAGGTGAACCAGCTTTGTGGAGACTGCGGCAAATGACCGGAATTTGAGACCTATCAAGGAATGTCATTGGGCCAGGAGCATGAACATGGAACAGCCCCACAGTTGGGACAGCCTCATAGTGAGCGATATATATTTGGAGGCACATTAGATGGCGTGCGATGTACATAGAAGGGCGAGTGCGGAGTATGGGGATGTTGGGGTTGCCTTGAGCAGGCTTGTACTTTGCGCCTTACGAGTACATATGAACGGATTGGTCTGCAGGCCCCGCTGTAGATGTCTCAGTCACATGGTACATAGTCTGTACTCCGTAGCCCTGGAGACATATATGAATCATTTAATCTGTACAGAGTAGAAACTTGGAAACAAAGCAGGAACATCATAAATCCGCGAGGTAGAAATGTGACGCCATGGTGATGGTATCAACATTTGAACACGAACTTTCCCCAAGGTTGACACTGGAGTATAGGCTTACTCGCACAGTGCTATTCCACTGTTTCAAATATCCGGTAAAATGAACGTTGCCACCCGCATTTGCCGCATAATGCGGTATTTGACGTGCCTACGGAGTACATCGCTTACCATCATACGGTGTCATCTTCCCTAACTACGAGTAGTCCCAGTAGTTTCAATCCCCACACGTTTTGGGGCTGTGACCGACAGAATCCCCGCGTCGCGAGAATAGATCGGGTCCAGAATGCGGGATTCAGTAACCCCAACTTCATAATATCTGCCAAGGCCGGGGTTTTAGGTAACACCCACGGAACATATGGGGTTGCGGTGCATCCGGTCAATGGCCTCGCTTCCAGAAAATTCTAGTGTCAGGCGGTGTTGCCTTTGGAAGTTAAAATGTGACCTAGCAAATCCAATTGCAATTCGATGGCTGACTAACCGGGAGGCGGCTCCCAAGAGATACATCTGTACTCGTAGTTCGTATACACTTAGCCAACAGTAGGCAGTTTCAACAGAATCCATTGCGGGTTTTTGAACGTGGGGAAACTCACGAGTCAGAGATATTAAATCCCTGACTAAAAACCGTATCACTGTTATCGAACTACCCCGGGGGGTTGCGCCGGGCCGGGGTGGCCGGGCCGGTTGCTGTCAAGATATGGGAGCTGGTCCGACTGTCCCACGGCCCTCGAGTATGGGGTTGGCTCTCCGAGCCCGAATACCCCACAATTCGCCGGTGAAGATGTTCGGCTTATGTCATCCCCGGTGTCGCTGTCCATATGGATGTATGCGCTTCAGATGCGCGGTATTTTGGGCATCTGATTGGTATGGGGACCGAGAAGATCAGCAATGTACAATGCTAAGTAGATAGATGTAAGAGAGTCTCCATATACGGAGTACGTGGAGTCGAAATCTCCCTTATCAACTTTAATGTCGGCGCGCCAAGGAAAAAAAAATTCTGGGTCCCGGGTTGGCCACCGCAGCCAATTTTGGTCTTTTATTTCTGTGCCTTTTCTTTCCTCTCATCTTCTCTCAATCACTCCCTAAATATCCATCATGAGTGCTGAAACCCCCCAACCCGTTCAGAACTATGAAGTTTACGACCATTCCGCGGATGTGGAAAAGAAGCAATATGATGAAGAGCCCGTCGATGACCCTTTTGGAAATGAGGAATCTGGGGAAGTGAAGTATCGCATTATGCCCTGGTGGTAAGTGAGCTCAATTCCATGTAATGGTGCAGATGTTAACATACATGCAGGCAAGCGGGAATGCGTGAGCGCAGTCTGATCCTCCGAATGTACACTGGCTAACCCTAATCATTTAGTCATGGTCGCTGAAAATATCTCACTGGGTATCCTGTCTCTGCCATCGGCAGTGGCTACGCTGGGAATTGTCCCGTGAGTTTCGGACCGTCAACACTCAGATGGAAACATTGCTTACCTAGGGAATTAGTGCACTTATTCTCATTCTAGGCTTGTCCGGCATCTCATGGTACACTGGTATCGTGATGGGTCAGTTCAAGCAACGGTACCCCCAAGTTCACAGTATGGGTGATGCCGGCGAGCTTCTCATGGGTCCAATTGGGCGAGAAGTCTTCTATGTCGGCCAACTTTTGTTCATTATCTTCTTGATGGCCAGTCACATTCTCACCTTCACCGTGCTGTTTAACACAATCACCAACCATGGAACCTGTACCATCGTGTTTGGTGTCATCGGCTTGATTGTCAGTTGCATTGCAGCCCTTCCCCGAACGGCCGAGAAGGTCTTTTATATGTCCACCATCTCCGCCATCAGTATTTTGGTCGCCACCCTGGTCACCATGATTGCGATCGCCGTGCAGGCCCCCGACGACGTTGTAAACGACATTACCACTACCCCGACTTTCCAGGAAGGCTTCCTGGCCGTGACCAACATTGTCTTTGCTTTCATTGCCCACGTCTCTTTCTTCGGCATCATGTCTGAGATGCAAGATCCCAAGGAGTTCCCCAAGGCTTTGGCTATGCTCCAGGTTGTCGACACCACCATGTACATCGTTACCGCCATGGTCATCTATTGCTACGCTGGCCCAGATGTGGCCTCTCCGGCTCTGTCATCCGCCGGCCCCATGATGAAGAAGGTCGCCTACGGTCTGGCCATCCCAACAGTTATCGTCGCTGGTGTGGTGTTCGGCCACGTCGCGTGCAAGTACATTTACGTTCGCATTTTCCGCGGTGAGCGCTCGCACCACATGCACCAGAAGAGTCTCCTAGCCACCGGTACTTGGGTTGCCATTGGCTTGACCACGTGGACCGTTGCCTGGGTCATCGCAGAGTCAATCCCGGTCTTCAACGAATTGCTGAGTCTGATCAGCTCTCTGTTCGGTAGTTGGTTCAGCTGTGAGTTTATTAATTGCCCTAGTAATCCTACGATGAAATTGCTAACCAAAACTAGATGGAATGCCTGCCATCTTCTGGCTCAGCATGAACAAAGGACAGTGGTTCTCAAGCCCCAGCAAGATCGCTTTGACTATCGTCAACCTGATCATTCTTGGAATTGCTATTGCCATTGTATGTTTCTCCAACTTCCCCATCTTTGACTCTATGCTAACAATACCAGTGTGGTCTGGGACTGTACGTCTCCGGTGTGGCTATCAACGAAAGCTCCTCCAACGCCAGCTGGACCTGCGCCAACAATGCCACCTAAAGGAAATGTATTTCCCGAGGCATGATGAATCGCGAATGTCTGTTATATATATGAATTTTTGCTCTATAGATCGTTTGTCAGGTTGACTATAGCATCGACCGGCCGGATTTCCCCGGTCATTGTACATAAATTGATGAAGTCAGTATTCCTGTGTTCAATAACTCTACCACTCCGTATACTCCGTAGGCATCACATACTACTATGTATTGATCGGCAAAAAAAGGGGTAAGGTGCAGGCTCAGCTTGATTAAGCGTTTAGGCTAAAGTATAGTTCCCGAACTCTTTTCTATCTTTTCTACTCCATACAACTCCGTACTATACACCCAAGTCCTCAACATTGATCACTCTTAGTGCTTATCCTTGATCTCTGACAATCCCAGACATTCTGCAATGTTGAAGAATATATCAATGGAGTTGTAGACACCTCCAAACAACTCCTGGCACGGGCCCTGAGCAAACACGGGCACGTCTGTCAAGGAGTGGACCCCCTGGCCCGCGTCAAGAGGCAGTGTTCCATTCACCACGAAGCCAGTGACAGCATCCTTGTAGCTGGCATAATACCCGTTCTTCTTGTCATTTGTGGTCGCGGCGGGTGTTCGCGGACCCTCGCTGTGCACCTGGTAATTCTCCCGGTGGTCGGGGAAAGCAGCGACACCCGAGTGCAGGGTGTACCGCGGGTCCCAGCGTGAAGGGAAGTGCACACCTTCAGAATAACGCAAGGAGTTAGGTCCAGCGACGGTGTACTGCGACAAGCCGGAGTTCTCATAGTACCCAACGGCATTGCGCTTGCTGCGGTCGTCGTCCTGGGCATCCATGTACTCGGTGTCCACTGAGCCGGTGACGTCAAAGCCATGGCCGTGATCGGCCGTGACGACGATCAGCGTGTCTTCCAGTTCACCAAGCTCCTTGAGCTTTTCGATTGTCGCGCGCACAGTATCGTCAAGCTCCAGAAGCTCGCCTAGTGATCGATCGTAATCCAGCGAGTGCATCTGCTTGTCGATACTGGCAGCCTCGGACATCAGGAACCAACCATCATCTCCGTGACGGTTGTGGAGCACGTCAATCGCCTTCAGAGTCATATCCTTAAGTCCTGGGAGGTCCTCGGCATCGCGACCGGAACCATCGGGATAGTTACTCTGGTTGAGGAGGTTAGCCTGGTAGACGTTGCGGTCGAGCCAGGTCGCAAGATTAGACTTCTGGAAAACGCCCAGCAACTTCTCATCGGTTGGTGCATCGTGGAGAGCCGTGTTGTTCCAGGCCAGGTTGTAACCTTTCTCGGCGAAGAGATTGTAGTAATCTCTGGTTTCTTCGCTTTGCAGGAAATCCTCCGCACCAGCGCCCAGGAGTACGTCGGGGCCATCCCAGTTTGTCCATTCATACTTGGTCAGACCCTCATAATAGGCGCTGATGACATGGTCATATTCACCACGGTCGCTGGTGTGAGCAGCCAATCCAGCGGGAGTTGCATCGGCCAAGAAAGCAGTGGAAACGATACCCACGCCGCCATCCGGGTTGCGACGACGGAAGATCTCCGAGATCGTCTCGAACTTGGGGTCATCGAACGGATCACTGGAAGAATCGACATACACGTTCAAAGCGTTCACAGTGGTCTTGTGGCCCGTGTAGAGGGCTGTAGCGGAGTTGGCCGAGTCGGTGATGAAAGAGTCCATCGAGTGCGTCATCTGGTGTCCCAGGATGGGGAATTTGTCCAATGCCATCTTCGTCATGTACTTGCCGTTGATACTCTTGTGTGCAATCAGACGTGCGGCCGTGATCATGTTAGTGGTCATGCCATCTCCAATGAACATGACTACGTTCTTCGCACGCCGCTTGGTGGAAAGGTCGCGGACATGCCAATTTGCCATCGTCTTCTCGTCTCCATAATAGCTCAGGGTGGCCTCGTATTCTCCAGGCTCGTACAGTGCAACTCTCCTATAGATCTTGGAGGTGACATTCACCAGCGAGGGTTTGTCCGCGTCCTGCGCGAAAAGGTCTGTTTCGATTAATTTGGTTCCAGGCCCGTGTTTTGGTTGAGGGTCCTTACCTTCATACCAAGTGAAATTCCAACTCTCGAGCTCCGGCTCATCAATTTCGAAATATTTCGTGGCGGGCACAGGAGTCCCGTCCTTTTTGTTGATTGTGAATTTAAAATCTTGATCTGGCTCGCCAGTTCGTGCTTCCGATCCATTGACAGGCGAGTGCACTTCTAATCGGATGTCGAAGTACTGTCCAGCCAGAAAGTCGGCCCTAAAAGTGGTTTTCACGTCAGACACGCATGATATTGTTACACCTCTCCAAACACGTACTGATCAGGCGGGAAGACACATCCCAAATCAGGACATCCACCTAACCGCTGAAAGGTCTGCGCCAGGGTGGACGACACCAGACACGCAATCACGGGAATGGAAGACCGCATGATGATCGTGGATTGAATATCTAGGCAAGGACAATTTGTTTCGGAGACGAGGGTACCTGTTTAAATATACGGACAACGTTCAGAGTTCATTTGATGCGGGTAGCACAGCCGAAGTGACCCTAACCTCCGATACCGATTCCTGTGCTGCGAGGATGGCAGTCTTGGCATAATGACCGGAGCGAGAGATGAGCTCACCAAGGGGCGAATAAGATACAGGCATTGTCTGCACGTGCGGAGACGTTGTCATCGATTGGGAAAGCTTGAAGCTTCATGCCAAGCTGAGGGGGCGGATGGCCAAGCCCGCCCAGCCCGCCTCCGGTGCTTTGCCAAGGAAACCGCCAGCACGTGGGATCGCTAAGTCGTGGAATTGCAATCGGTTCACTCTTGCTGGGAGTTATCAGACCACTTGAGGACTTTAGGCGACTTCCGTTGATATTAACCACACAGACCGTGAAATCCTGGCGCCGAGGGTGGCGTGGTTGTCGGAGATTTGTTGATGTATGGGAGAATCCTAACTGGGGACTCATAGGAGGGCGATTGAAATCTTTTCCTGCCTGAATCACTCATCTTGAACACATGAAGAACATCTGCTATCTCACTACTTGCAATTTGAAGCCTATTCGCGTCAATTGCGGATTGAGCACTGGTCAAAATGCCTCTCACTGCGCATACAAAACCCTTCATCTTCGGTGTAACTCGTACTATTTCATACTCCGTAGGGCATGATTAGTTTGATATTCACGAATTACGGGGTAGACTCAGAGAGGATGGACATGTACTCGGGTCTCACCTTAAACTGGTCGGATGAAAATAGCGGAGGGAAGCGAACCTTGGAAAAGTAAGAGATATGAGTTCCGTGTTCACTTGGGGCTGTTCTAAGATGCTCCGATGCAAAATCTAGACCGCAATATCAATCTGCTTTGATAGGATGGCGTTGAGCCTTGCATTTATCCTCTATAAGCTATCACCAGATCTATGGGTAGCGCCTCACTGCGTACTCCAAGGGTATGGCTTTGGTTTCCACAGAGCTTTGAACCTATATTAGCCAATTGAATCGTAATATTCTACTCTTATTCTAATAATTGGCAAGTCTAATCTTTCCAGGCTGCAGACCTTGTCCATTGAAATGTCCCATCAGTATTTTCTTTGTTGTGTTGGTTCGCCGAGCCGGCGGAGGAACATCCCTACTACTCTCCCACCCCTGGGACAATTCACACATAACCCTTTCCCCATCCCCTTGGGTGTTCTTTATTTTGCTTTAATATGATACCCGTGTAACTGAGGAGATTACGATCAATTGTCAAACGTCCGTAGGGGAAAAGGACGACCTTGGCAGTGGGCGCTCTGAAGGAGACATCCAAGTGGGCACTGAAACTCACAGTCAACATTTTTAGTGGTCTGTTTGAAGTGAAGTCAACCAGGCAAGTCATCTAATGGAATGTTGCGCGTGAGATGACTGCTCTACCCGTTCACAAAAAGATTCTCCCCACCTACCCTACCCCATCTACGGAGTACAACTGAACCACGCCGACCTCGTCCAAGCAGTCCCACGATCGATCATTCTCAAAAGCTCAGGAGGAAATAAAAGGAAAACGATCGGTATCTTTGGGCCACTTTCAGGCTTTTACCAGGGTGGCTTGTCAAAAGTACCAACGTGACAGGTTGACATTAGGCTCGATTCCGGCTTGAAAGAGGTGGAGTCGCTCTCAATGAGCCCAATGGGATTTGATGTTAGTTGGGGACATTCTTCTTTCGGGAATCTCGGCCCCCATTTTCTACAATGGGATTTCAAAGGCCAATCACCTCAGTCACCGGGAGAGATGTGATCACATTGGAACAAAGAAACTGACCCGAAGAGAGCTCAAAGCGGTTAGCCAATTTTTGGCGCCTCTCACACCACCCTACAGACTCGACCTCTTCACTCTTCAATGTCTCTACAACATGGAGTTCAATTCAGTTGATCAGCCTCGGAAGAAGATCCGAAAGGGGACCCGCAGTTGCTGGGAATGTACGGAGTACAGATATCCTTCATCTTCCATGCCCCTTGCATGCCTGGCGTGGACTGACACATCTCGTCAGGTAAACATCGAAAAGTTCGCTGCAACTTCACCTCGGAGAACGACCGGAGCTGCAGAGAATGTCTCGTGCGTGCGATTCCCTGCCGCAGCCAGGATTTACCCGAGCCTGAAAACCCCCGCGAGTCCGACCGTGCGGGCCTTAATGAGCGCTTGGCCCGCGTTGAGTCCCGCTTGGAGACGATCGCCCCCCGGATCGACGAAATTTTACAACGCCTCGAGAGTCTCGGGACAAATCAGAGACAATATCCGCTTTCTGTCAGACTCAAGAGTGAACCCCCGAGTTCCGAGGTGACTCAAGATAATGCCCCAGTCATGCATCTGTTCAAGGATGCAACGGTCAGTGCCGGCATAATGCCATTTGATACGGCGTATACAACTTTGAAGCTGAAATCCAGTCCACGATAGCTGTTTTCTCAGAATCCGGAGACGGATGTTCCCAGCTCCACCGCATACAGCTCGATCAACCCGGATTGGCAGCAACTTCGCCAAGAATTGATAGCTCTGATCCCGCCAGCGGAAACATTGGAAATTATGTCGGAAGCGAGTACCAGCTGGTGGCTTATGCGCAAAGCGTGGTTCGAGGACATCGAGCCGAAATTACTTCCTGTTCCAGTGGAAACCCTCTGGGAGAGCCACCCAGCCTTTATTGGCAAGGCCGTCTTGTGGATTGCCTCCTGTCTCCAGCAGCTGCCACCAGAGGTCGATATTGATAGACTTAAGCTGCCGTGCACACCTGCTCTTCTAATACAGAAGGCGATTTCCACAGTTGCGACTCTCGTCTGCTCCGACGATTCCCTCGTGACTTGTATCGACGGATTGGAATGCTTAACATTGCAATCCGTGATGTTTGGCAACAACGGAAAAATACGGAGTGCATGGCTGTCGTGTCGACGGGCTATAGACGTCGCACAGATCATTGGATATCACCGTGAGACTCCAGTGGCTACTGAAAACGCCCCTTTTCGGCGCCGAGCGACGTTTCTCTGGAGATCCTTGGTTTTCACAGATCGCCTTTATTCTATCACTCTCGGGGTCCATGCTGCAACCTCTAACGCGGCAATTGAGCTTCATCAATCCAATGAGGAATTGAGCGATATGCCCGGCCGCAGCAGATTTCTCCTCGATCCCCTAACCAGGATAGCTGGGTCGATCATTGATCGAAATCAAACTTTCACCAAAGTCAACCCAGCCATGATCAAAATGACCTTGAAGATCGATGCCGAATTTGAACCATTGTCGACTCCTACCATCTTTTCGCCTAGCGAGGAGGATATTTCAAGTGCCGGGGAAGCTCGTGAACGCCTTTTAGCCTTTATCTCATTGAATAGCCAGCTATGCTTTCATCAACTTAAAGCCTGGCTGCACCTCCCTCTGCTCCTTGAAGCAAGCAAAGAGATCCCATACGACTATCATCGTAATGCTTGCCTCAACGCTTCCCGCAACCTGATTACATGTTATTTGAACCTTCGAAACGTGGCTGGGAGTGAATACGCCAGCCAGATTGTGGATTTCGTAGCATTCACTGCAGCTATGACCCTGGTCATCAATGCCATTGGCCCATTTGGCCCCCAGGACTTCAACCAAGAGGACATGGACGCCGTCGAAAGCCTCACGGCTATACTAGACCATCTATCACAGAAGGGCCCGGCAGATAATGTTGTCAGTCGATGTGCACACGTTCTGTCAACCTTTCGAGCAGTCTCTTTGGGTCATGACTACCCACCCTCAGTTGGCACCAACGACGAAAGTGGCACTACACCGGATCGGCCTAGTCGCATGAAGTTAGAAATTCCGTATTTCGGCACAGTCTACCTCGAGCGTCGCACATGGGAATCTCAAGCTGCAAAAAACACCCCTGCATCATCCACAGGCACTCCCTTGAGGGGCACCGACTGGGATCCGAATGCTTCATTTAATGAATATGCGGACGCGACCCAAAAGCCAATTACGGATTCATCGGCCTGGCCCACTGGGTTTTGGGCCTTGGGCAATGAGTTTACATTCCAGCCTCCATTCCTCGCTGACTTTGACATTGATTGGAGTTCTTGTGACTTCGGACTGAACTAATTATCTGCAACTGGGTGAATCTATGTAGGTCATCTCACGGGCAGCTATCAATCTCAGGTTTACACATTCCCACAATGCTAATATTCTCGTCTGGCTAAGCTGAGTTATCATAGCTAGAGGTCTTATGATGGGGTCAATTTTATATAACGCAATACGTTAAGGCTGCTTGTTGCGATTGACATATGAGGCCAAGAAGCAATTGCTATCTCTCCCAATGTGCCATGGTGTGGCGATACGTCTAGCATTGACTGTGATCAACCGGGTATCTGAAATTATGTACATATCGTAAGTGAACACCTGAGTCCCACATGACCTCCAGGGCTCTGAAAGGTTCTCCATGTCTTAAAGGAGCTCACCTTCGCTTCAAAGCTCTAACAAAGTCCCCAGGTTTCTCGCCTAAGTTTGCGTCTGGACTCTCAGCAGGGCATTGTCTGTGACATCCCTCTTTCTCAAGCAGCACGAGATATGTACTCAAAGCAATGAGAGGGAACTCACTGCCATAAGACGCAGTAATCTCGAGGCTATCACCCTCCGAGAACCCGTGGTTTGCACAGACCGCTGCAACTGAACCCGTCTCCTCATCCACCAACGTCAGACTTGACGACTTCATCCAGGCGAAAGTCCTAGGCACCTTCAACTCTAAGCTCTCCCCAATTGTATTTGATGGAATCATTGCGGCAAATCGATACTGCGTCGCACTGTTTTGAATCGACCGCGTCCACCACGCCACGCTCATTTTTCCTCCCAGACGTTGTGATGGTTGTGTTTGTCTCAGCCAGCCTGTGTCACATCGGCTGGAGCTGCTGTTTTCGCCGTATGTGCACTCAGCGATTCTGTGGCCGAAGTTTCTATCGCCGCGATAGATTGTCATGTCGGGCTTGGTGATATTTCGACTTCGGCCTTCGACAGAAAATGCCAACTTGTTGTTTTCGGATTGAATCTGGTAGTCCCCAAGACTTGATTGTCGATTGATGTGATAAATGACGGGGTTCGTCGACGGTTGGCATGTTATCGGGCTATAGATCGGCGGGTCCTCCGAGCCGTAGGAAGGTGGCATATCGTGGATCTTGTTCATCGTATTTCACAATTCGTGGTTTTGGTTGGGATTTCAAAGAGTGACGCTCGAATTGGGATAAATAGATCTATTAAATACCAGTCGCCAAAAAAAGAGTGTCCACCAACTATACTCCGTGAGACAGGCCGGCGTCCCAATTTGGTTAGTCAAGAGATGAGTCAACGTTATACGAGCGTTGAAGCCTTTCTTGACTTGTCATTGTTCAATGCGAAATGCATTAGCGAGATTGAGTATCAATTGCGCTATGATAATTTGACATAGCATGAGATATTCCAGCAGTTGATTCCTATTTTCGTTTCTGATGACTCTCGCGCTGGTCGGCTGTGGGATGTCAAAAATCAATTTGGCGACAGCAGATACCACGTCAAGGTAGCCACCGAATTGTGCGGCTTTTCGAATTGTGCCAAGCTGAAAAGACACCAAGCTTGAGATTTTCAGCTCATCCAGATCATGCATCTGTTGGATTGGGATACTGTGTGGTTCTCCCGTGTCGCGGCACAGAATGCTCCGAATGGACTGTGGGAGCCATGAGCCTTGAGATATCTGAAAGAAAACACAATGTGGAACATGGAGGGACCGAACAGAGGCTCTCTCCATGCCTACTGCGTAGTAGACCGCTAGCCGTACGAGCCCTCAAGGATTTCTGACTTGATCTGTATATTTGCTCATGAAGGGGCTTCTCATTGTGATAGTGACTGGAAACACTGGAAGATCGATGGCGAAGATCTTGATCATGTATCATGTCAGCTTCTCTGGTATACTGCTGTGAGGTCTTCAGGGCTTCTAGGCTGGAGTGGGTCTTCAAATCTTGAAACTTGGTCTAGATCTGCCCAGGGGTTGGCTTTACTCGTATTTTGGTGTGTCGGGGGGCTTATGTGGGGGTACTACTCGGGGCAAGTATGTCAGTAGCTCTCTGGTCTCTATACTTAACTCTAGAAGTACCCTCGGGTGTCGCTTGAGTGGGTCAGATAAAACGAATCCTTTATTGTTCAGATCCCCCAAACCTGGCTCCCTCAATGTGAATGTGAAAATAAGGCATGAAGGGCGATCGGGCAGGGCTGGTTATGGTATTGGTGCCTCGTGGATTGTGCCGTGTGGATACAAGTGTAACAGGTCTTAAGCAACGATCGCCAGTGACAGCTCATGGTTGAAATGCCATCTTGAGACGCAAATCAAGAATTACTCCCGACAAAGCCTAAGACGCACCTGTAGACTTGCATTGTATGTACAAAGTGAGACTGTCCATTCCCAGCTAGACGACCTTGATCTGTGACCAGTACAGGGATATCCCCGATTAGCTGCAGATCCCTTTCTCAACTACTCGTAGACACGCAAGCTCCCAAGAGAAGATCTCACGATCTGGACGAAAGCACATGACGTCATCTCGAAACAGTGCCAAGACGAGGACTTCCCCAGTGATAGACATGTCAAAGAGTCCTCATTGGCATACAGGGTTATTCGTGGGGACATCATGCCAAGTCGCAGATACGAGTATATTTTATATTGGGGCTGCAGTGTAGTATCGTCATCGTCAATTCCGGGTTTATACCGATGACGTAGCCGACATCTATCAGCTCTCTTGTCTGCTTCTCTGCTTGCATCTCTGTCCTTTTTCCCATCATATCGATTTTTTTTTACAATGGCGCCAGGGCAACAATCCCAGACTCCCCAGACTCATCGGGTCGGGGAGCACTGGAGTGGTGCCAATCCCATCCCCACGATCCGCCATTTTATGGAGCATATCGATGCCGAAAAGAAAGAACGCGATCACAGGATTGATGAAGAAAACAGAATCAAAAAAGAGCAAGCTGCGCGCTCCAAGGCGCAGGAGAAAGCCGGGGTGAAACCCGAGGAAGAGGAGGGAGATGCGGTCGCTCACAAAGCACGCGAGGTATCGCAGGCTAAGATGCGCACGGTGACGGATCCCACCACCGGCAAGGATATTGGGGTGGAGGATCAAGATGAGACCTCAATGGAAGCTGTCAAGAACCCAATGGTAGGCATCGCGAGGGTCAATTCTACATGCCGGGGCTAATGAAAGACATAGTTGACGGTTCCCAACGCTAATCTGGGCAAAGAAACGGTAAGATGTCGAGGATTCACTACGTGTACGAATGTGTACGAATGCTAATTGGCAAAAAGGAGGTCCAAACCAGCGCCGACCAAGATCTGGCTGAATACAAGGAAAATCAAGACATTACAGCACCCCCCGATCCCATCGCCGAAGGCACAACCTCCGATGTCCCCATCCGAGGCGAAAAAACCAACGTCCTATTCCACCCGACTCCGACCGTTTCATACCAGCCCATGTTTGAGGTTCTACACAAGCGTGCCGCGGGACTTTGCATTGGTATCCCTGCCGCAATCATTGTCATTGGGCGCATCTTTGGAGGATCCTTTTGGGGTCTTATTCCCTTGGCATTTTGTATCTCGTCGGGTGTGTGGCTGTGGATGCAAGAAGTCATTCGCAGTGGCCGGGAGATGGAATGGAGCAGTGAGCAACTTCGCGGTCAAATGGTGAGTATCTTCTCTATAATTGGTTTTACTGCAAAGCTGACAATTAGTAGGCCACGGCCAATCTGCTCCCAGAGTCTGTCGAATGGATGAACAGTTTCCTCGGTGTGGTATGGGGACTGGTCAACCCTGAAATGTTGACGCCCATGGCCGACACCATCGAAGACATTATGCAAGTCTCAGCACCAAGTGTTGTGGAAAATGTTCGAATTGCAGAGATCGATCAGGGCAATAATCCACTGCGCATTCTCAGCATGCGAGCGCTTCCAGACGAGCATGTGCAAGATCTGAAGGACAACATTCACGAAGAAAATAAGAAAAACAAGGATCCACAGGAAGCCGCCGCCGCCGAAGAAGGTGGCAGCTACTACAACATGGAGGCATCATTTGCTTATCACGCGAAGCCAAGCAGTCAAACTGCATCATCAAAAGCTCGCAATATGCATATGCAACTGGTGTTCTACCTTGGCATCCGGGGCCTGTTCGGTGTACCATTCCCGGTATTTGTGGAATTGATTGAATTAGTTGGAACGGTCCGCATGCGCTTCCAGATGATGCCCGAAGCACCATTCATGAAGGATGTGACATTTACCTTGGTTGGCATTCCCCACGTCAGGGCAGGATGTATGCCAATGCTCCGGAAAGGAGTCAACGTTTTGAACTTACCTCTCATCTCCAATTTTGTGAACTCGGCCATCGGTACGGCATGTGGAATGTTTGCAGCTCCCAAGTCAATGACTATGGACCTGGGTATGATGCTTACGGGTGACGATATTCACAAGGACACCCTGGCTTTGGGTGTGATGTGGATTCGCATTCACCGCGCAGTGGGTCTGAGCAAACAGGATACTCGTGGAAGTGAAGGTGGCGGCAGTGACCCGTACATCAACCTGTCTTTCTCCAAGTATGGAAAGCCAATGTATTGCACTCGAGTGATTACAGACGATCTCAACCCGATGTGGGAGGAGACTGCCGCTCTCTTAGTGACACCTGAACTGATCAAAGCCGACGAGAATCTGAGCATCGAGCTTTGGGACTCGGATAGGAATACCGCCGACGACATCGTCGGAAAGGTAGAATTGCCTATCCGTGAGATGTTGCAGCACCCCAGCAGAATGTATCCTCAAATCTCGAAGCTTCAAGGTATGGACGAGGGTAGTGAAATGCCCGGTCAGTTGCACTGGGAGGTGGGTTACTTCGGCAAGCCCAAGCTTCGCCCAGAGTTGCGAAGTGATGGTAAGAAGAAGGATCTTCCTGAAAATCTGAAGGGCAACCCCACCTTCGAAGATGAGAAGGGCACTATCAACAATGACGAAGAAGATGCTGTCATGCACACACCTCCCGACCCCATCTGGCCAAGTGGTATTGTGCACATTGTTGTGCATCAAATCGTCAACTTGCAGATTGCCAACATCAAAGGAAGTGACGGAAATCGTAAGGGCAAGGAATACGAACCAGCCAAGCCTTATGGCGAAAACACCGAGGAGCAGGGAGATGATCTCCCTACTAGTTACTGCAAGGTCCTGTTGAACGATCAACTGGTATGTTGCATTTCCCTCGCTGCTATGCCGCATTTGCTAACCCATCATAGGTATACCGCACTCGTGCAAAGGCTGTCAGCTCCAAGCCAATTTTCAACGCCGGAACCGAGCGGTTCGTACGCGACTGGCGCTCAGCGGTGGTGACCGTCACTGTGCGCGATCAGCGCTACCGCGAGCACGACCCCATCCTCGGCGTTGTCCCAATCAAGCTGTCCGATATTCTCCAGACAAGCTCGCAGGTCACGCGTTGGTACCCCCTCGATGGTGGAATTGGATTTGGACGCATTCGCATTTCCATTCTTCTCCGCCATGTCGAGACCAAGCTTCCACCAGCCATGCTTGGGTGGGACGTTGGTACATTTGAATTCACCGGTGAAAAGATCATCGCTCAGAATTTTGGTCGTCACACCAAGATCAAGCTGCGTACTGGTGGCAGCGTTGGCAAGATTACTCGACACAAGTGTCAGTTGGAAGGCAGCGATGCGGTATTCGATACCTCTGATGAGACGTTCCGGGATTCGTTGCGGATGCCGGTGAAGCACCGATACCGATCTCCCATTGTGTTTGAGTTCCACACCCAGGGCAAGCGCAGTGCGGTGGCCTATGCCGTCTATTGGCTTCAGCATCTCATCGACAACGAAGAAACCGACATCGATGTCCCCATCTGGACGACCAAGATGGGCGAACGTCTGACCCAAAACTACATCACAGAGGAGAACTGGAAGGCGAAGAAGGTTCCTGGCTTAGAAGACTTGACAGAGATCGGGCGCCTCCAATTCCGCTGCAAGTTCTCTCCCGGAATTGACGAATCACACGAGAGATTCGTCGTGGACAACGATTCGCGCGAGACATTTGAGACCTGGGAAGCGTGCTTAGCGCAGGGAGTCCGCTCCCGCAGCGTGCACGTGGAAGTTCCCGATGAAGTGAGACAGAAGCATGAGCAATCTCTGATCGATGGTCGGGATGTCCTGAAACAAGCATCTCCCTCCGAACGACGACGGTGGATTGATTACGACGGCCATGACTGGAGTGGAGCCTTCGGGCATGATCCGCGAGCATACACCGACTCAGTCGGGCGCAAGATTGCCGAGCCCGGCCGCGATGGACCCCGACACGACCCCTACACTCCGCCCCCACTGAAGGGTCAGCCTGCGTCTCAGCCTAGCTTCCAAAGTCCGGAAGAGCACGACGAAAGCTCCGATTCAGAGGGGGAGGAGGAAAATTCCTCACTTTCCACTGGCCCTTCGACTGTTGCCGGCGACTCGGGAGGCCCTTCTTCATCTCAGGCTAGTGTCAGTACTAGCCAGATGAACAAAGCGAACAAACGCAGTGAGCAGCGACAGCAACGGGGTTTGATGCAGTGGCGTCCTGCGCGTAATGCTGCTTTTGCCAAGGATGAGGCGAAGTTTGCGCTCCGAAAACTCAAGAAGAAGGTTGGCGCGGGTGATCTTACTGGTCGCGAACCAGATGTTGAAACGGAGACTTGATACTGTATAGTGCGTTTTGATTGGAGTTTTTCGGTCTCGGACTTTGGGGTTAGTCTTGCATATAATGAATGTCATCATGAATATTCTTTCTAGCACCACAGCACTCCGTAGAAAAGATCATCGATGTAGACAGCTCATGTTGAGGGTGCACGATGTATTTCATGGCCAATAGCGAGTCAGCACTTTGTGTCAGAATGATGGCATCAGACTTCTCGTTGCCATGAAGAATAAACTTAGGTTTCTCAGACCTTGAGCAACAAGCAGGGAAGCCCAGTGGTGAGGGATCCATCACAGGATCCTACCTGGGCAATGAGATTCAAACGGCGTCACAACCTCTGGAGTATGAACCGTCTGGTTTTTCATTTGCTTTCGCAGATAATGAGAAACGTTTTTATATATTCACCAAGGATATAATGTATGAGATGTAAAAGCCACAGCCAAAGAGAGAGAGAAAAACATCGAATTGCGCCTTAAAGCCACAGGTCTCCGAACCTGCGCCTCTAGATGATAATAACATGATTCGTAAGAAATAATATGTGCAGCCATTAAACATAACGAAACGGTCATTAGCGACCGTAATTGGGGGAGTCATTGAGATGGTTCCGCGGTAGGTGTGGGATCTAAGCTGGGCGCGGCCTGGGGCTCTGAGACATCGCGTCCGAGAGTCTCCAATGGGCCCAAAGTCCACTTCCACTCGCGGCGACGTTTAGCCCTGGGTTGCCGGGGAGTTTGTGGTGTGGAGGAGCCATCGGCCTCGAAGCCATCCAGCAACGCGACAGCGCGAACCTGGCGGTCGGCAATCATGGTGCGCCGTTTCTTGCGCTCGGTCTTGGTGAGCGGGTGGGTATTTTCATCGCGGGTATTTTCATCACTGGTGTCATCCGAGATCTCGGAGGGGCCACTTGAGTCCGAGTCTTCTTTGTCGTCGTTTTCGTCGGGTCTGGGCCGGCCGGTTGCGGGTGGGATGGTGTCTGCCTCGTGCACCGCCTCCCTCACGAGATCCAGGTGCTGCGCCGTGTAGCGCTCCGTCCGGATTTCCTCTTCCAAGGGAGCCCGGTAGCTGACTTGTTTTTTGGCGGGGAAAAAGACCCGGCGGGTGTTTGTGCAAGGACCATTGCCGGCGGAGATGGAACCCGATCGCCGTCGGGGCTCGAGGGGGGAGTTGCGCAGGATACTGCGGACACCGAGGGGTTGTTGATATGGGTTGCGAGACAAGATATTATTGGTGTGGACATAAGGCGAGGTGGGTTTGGGGTTGAAGCGGGCCGTTTTTGAGGGTGAGGTGGTCGCCGAGGAGGGTGATGCGACTTCGTAGGCATTTTTAAAAGTGTTACGGATGGTAGGAGAGGCTGCTGGGGCTGCAGCGAAGGAGAATGAAAGGCCCGTTGTTGAGCTGCCAAAGGTGCGCGGCAGCGCAGTGGTTTGGAGGGTGAGTTTGGGTCGAGATGTTATGGTTGTAGTGGCATCTGGAGAGAGGCACGACATGGTGAGGGGTAGATGTAAATGCAAGAACTCAAGCCAGAAACTGCAAAGAAAGACCAAAAGCCGAAAAGCCAAAGAAAAAAGAAAAAGAAAAGAAAAGGCGGGCAGAAGACTAAAAGAAGGAGGTTGGCGCTGTGACGATGTGATCTACATTTGTATTCGACAGTCTATTATTGTGATGGTAATTTATTACAATACTTAGAGTACACACTATACATACTGTACACACTGTACACACTGTACACACTGTACACACTGTACACACTATGAATCAAACAGAGATTTCTGTCCAGACTCCATTGGACTCAAGTGGAGAGGCCACTATTGAACGCCACTAGTCGCTGTTTGCCGCTCTAATTTAATCTCAATGCAATTTATGTTTCTTCTAGTCCTACATACTTTGTACTCTGTAATCTGTACTCTGAATTAGCTGAATATTTAATCTGAACTGACTGAAACCGATATCAGATCAGCTGCTCGAATACGGAGTACTTGGGCTATAAAAAGAAACCGACCCACCGATCATCGGTGGCAAACATGATGCTCAAGAGTCTGGAGTAGACAACTATACAAGTAGTCTACGAGTAGTTCAGTATACTGACTCAATATCCTATTTACGTTTGTATACCTGTATATACCTACTCGTAGGTGAGTAGTAGAGTGTACAGTCTACAAGTCTCTCGAATTTTCACTGACGTCATCGCAGATCAGCGACGCAGTAGACAATGCAGAATGCAGAGACCTAACACGGAGGTAGACGCAGATCCGACTCCTCGTATGTACATTTATTTCTGCTCAAGTTTGTTTGCGACATCTCGACACCTAAGAACAAATGTCTCAAATTCTTTGTATCTCTACAATCCCGGCAGAACAAGTGACCGCCAGCGGCAAAGTGCGGAGAAGATCGACGAAAATCCACTTGGGTGTCAGCGATGTTTACTCTGGATCATAGTACTACTTAGTACGAGTAAGTGCACAGAGTACGGACCCCTGGAGGTGTGTTACTCGTATTGCCCAAGGTTTATGCTTCAAATTTGACTGCTGTGGTCACTTTACCTGGGCAAGCTGGGGCATCATCGTCGACGTCAGCCTCGGGAGTCGATATTATGTAGATTACCTTTTTCTCGTGGGTCATTTATTGATACTCCTACCACAAAACATTAGACAATAGAGATTCAGGCAGACTTTCAAAGCAACTTGAACATCACTTTTGTTCGAGATCACCTGACTGGTGATTTTCGAGATGCTTCACCCCTGGCGAAGTTCAATAAGCCCCTACTCCACCTTTCAATCTTCACTTGCGCGGGTTCCAAGGCTTACGTCGCATTTCTTATCAGCGCGGTTGGAACACCAGTCTTGTACCTAGGTAAATCAATGGTTCTGTTGAGCGATGTTTTCGTCCCTACTGCGATCTTTGCCCCAACTTGGGCGCAGATGGAAACCGCTCACATTCGCCAATCCCAACTTTGTTCGGCTCCCCGAGGAGTACAAAATTGAAGAGGAGACTCTTCCGGAGTACAATGCCTCAGAATTCTATCCAACTCGCATTGGGGAAATTATCAAAGAGCGATATCAAGTCATCGGCAAATTGGGATTTGGGTCCACCTCTACTGCGTGGCTTGCACGGGATATGGAGTAAGATTCATTGGTTTTCAAAACAGGCGGGGAAGATTCATAAATACTGACACTTTATGACTATAGAAAACGTCGTTATGTCATGCTAACAGTATACATTCAGGCTTCGTCCATGGGGCGTCACGCGGACGATGAGCTCAATTTGTACAAGCATATGGGGCAAATCACAACCAGCCATCCTGGTCAAGACGTGGTAAGAGCCTTACTTGATACTTTCAATATCGATGGGCCTAAAGGCCAACATCGGTGCCTTGTACATGTTCCCCTGTGGGAAAGTGTCTTAGCGTACTTACGCCGCAATCCAGTCGAGAGGCTCCCATCAGCCGTCATCGCAGTAGTTCTTCATCGTTTGTTTCTAGCATTGGATTACCTTCACACTGAGTGTAAAATTGCACATACAGGTTGGTAACCCAGAATCCTCCTATTGTCCACAAACTACCATATCCTCCGGGGCTATACTGATCCAAATCTTAGATATCAAAGCTGACAATATAATGTTTGGGATCAAGGACGATTCAGTCTTCACTGAATTTGAGAAATACGAGATTGAGCGTCCTGTTCCAAGGAAGGAGGTCGATGCAGATGGGAGAATGATCTACATGTCCCAGGAACTCAACATTCCTAAGAAGGTCGGTGCTCCGGTCCTTTGTGACTTCGGCTCAGCTATGCTCGGCGACCAACCCCACTCAGTGTTCGTTTAGCCTCAGATCTACCGAGCACCCGAAGTGCTATTGGGGGTTCCATGGACGTTTAGTGCCGATATATGGAACGTGGGTTGCATGGTAAGATGGATATCTGGACCCAAGTACGTCTACAGGTCGACCTTGGTGCTAACACTCCTTTCTCTTGTAGATCTGGGATATCTACGAAGGCGGTAGCTTGTTCAGAGGCCAAGACCCTGAGTTTGAAAGATATCGGAGTAGGGCACATCTTGCTGAAAATATCAATCTTCTCGGCCCCCCGCCTTGCAGTCTTCTTACTCAAGGGCAGTTAAGAGACAAGTTCTTTTCAAAACAAGGCAAGCATTTCCCTTATGATTTGACCATGTATTATGCAGTGAGTGCTTTCGGTCAGACTCACTAACTGGCTAAATTTAGGAGATTTCCTCACACCGCAGTTACTAACAGATCCGGTTCCGCTTGAGCAAAGGGAGACTACTCTTGAGGGTAGGGCTGAGCGAGAGGCATTCCTACGCTTCATGCGTAAGATGCTGCAGTGGGAGCCTAGCCAGCGGAGCTCTGCCAAGGAGCTTGCGGAGGACGAATGGATCCTAAGCCACATGGGCAGATGAATAGATGAAAGTATTTCGGGGAATACCTAAATACCAAAGATCTTCATATGTACACCTAGGCGTACTTAAGTATGTCTTGTACCAAACCCTCAAGGTTGGATGTATTGTCGGTAATTGCACGAGCTAAACAGTTGAACCTGGTCGACTGAGTTAAATATAGACATTGACTCAGAATCAGACTTGGATTTCAGGACCTCCAACGTTGTCTCGTCGTACAAGGTACGAGTAGTCGTAGACGGCACAATACAAATGGCCCCTAAATATGGAGCCAGAGACCTCGGAAGTGCATTGTGGATCGGAACTAAAATGACTAGTTGGAGGGGCGCAATATCAAAGATATCAAGGCAGACTTGTTTCTCCAGTCTGGGCCTTCGAATGTTGGTTAGCGTGTTTACATTTACTCTGTACAGCCCCGTGGATCCTCTCAGTTCTAGCTATGGGGCATTGACGATCCAAAAAGGTGGGAAATTTGATCGTTTCTTGCTGGATCTTCCAGGTGGGTAGTTTGTATCTGTACTATACGCGTATGGGAAGAATGTCGACTCGCAGAGTGCGAATTGCGGTGGGTTTCTATTTTTAGACTCAACAGCCTGACACCAGCCACATCGCAAATTGCACCAGCCACATCGCAAATTGCACCAGCCACATCATATGCACCAGCCACAGTTCCTCGTATTGGGTGTTTTCTACTCCGTTGCCAAGACAGCACTTCATCCCTCCACATGGACACGTCTGCGCCAGGGGTCCATGGCTGTGCTTCGGAACGATAGTCGGATCATTCTCCACTTGGTATTTGTTTGTCCCCTTGTGTCTGCATCCATTTTACTAACCGCGACTAGGACTATGACTGTTTCTACGCTTCGGTCTTCGAGGTTGAACAGCCAGCGTTGAGATCGTTACCACTGGCGGTCCAGCAAAAGCAGATCGTGGTAACGTGCAACTATGAGGCACGGCGACGAGGCTTGCACAAATTGCAACTCATCAAGGATGCCAAACGCATATGTCCGGACGTGGTCATCGTCCTGGGGGAGGACCTGACGAAGTTCCGCAATGCCTCTAAGGAGCTGTACCTGCTAGTCCGGTCATTGGTCTGGGGCGGCCGTGTAGAGAAGCTCGGTTTTGATGAACTCTTCTTGGATGTCACGGAGATGATCGACTACAATATCAGCGTGCTGAATCCAAACGATCTGACCAATTCGTTTTTTCATCTCGATCGAAAAGACCCAACAATTGGAACTGCCTATGATGCAACTCGTTTCCAGGGCTCTACGTTTCCGGTCACTGAGGGACCACCCGTTCCCACGGACCTCTCATCACTGGAGATGAGATTACTGGTCGCTTCCCATCTTCAGGGTCATATCCGAAGTAAGCTGGAGCACCAGATAGGATTTACGGCCACCGGCGGAATTTCAACGTCAAAGTTACTGGCCAAGTTGGTGGGCAGTGTTCACAAACCGAATGGCCAAACGACCCTTTTACCGCCATATCAATCCACCCCAGAGAACGAGAGCAATGTGCACAGATTTTTAGATGAGCATGAGATTCGCAAAATCCCTGGGATCGGGTCGCGTATGGCCCAGAAACTCAGAGCGCATATCACCGGACAGGAAGATTCGGACGCGAAAGTCACCGTCCGTGATGTCCGACTCTTCCCCGGTATGGGGCCTCCTTTATTAGACAAAATTCTCAGTGGACTCGGCTCAGCGAAAGGGATCGGAACGAAGATGTGGAGCGTTCTCCATGGGGTGGACAATTCTGAAGTCCTCCAGGGTCGAGATGTGCCAACTCAAATCAGTATCGAGGATTCCTATGGTCGTCTAGATACTTTCGAGGCTGTGCGACGGGAACTTGTGACGTTATCACGAAGTCTGATCCGGCGGATGAGAGCCGACTTACTTGACAATGAGACGCCTCCCGGCCGGTGGCGAGCGCATCCTCGCACTCTGCGGCTCTCAACGCGACCCCGACTTCCGCCCGGTTCCGAAACGGGCCGCACATACCATTCGAACCGGATCTCACGCTCGGCGCCACTCCCCGCCTTCATCTTCCACTTGGACGAGAACATTGACGCACTGGCTGAACGGCTAGTTCACGAAAGCGTGCTGTCAATGTTTCGCCGATTGCACCCGGATAAAGCTGGCTGGAATCTAAGCCTGTTGAATATTGCCGTGACTAATATAGTGGAAAGTGCGGGGGATCAGAAGCAGAGCAGTGGTCGGGATATCGAGAAGATGTTCCAGCAGCAGGAGACGGTTCTTCGGGATTGGACGGTGCAGGAACAGGCACCCGAGGCTCCAGTGGATGTCTCGCTATCAGATAGCGAACAGGCGGAGTCTGACGACTGGGAAGACGATGAACCGCTGGCGAGTCTGGACTGCACCCTCTGTGGATGTCCCGTCCCGCTATTTGCCCACGAAGCACACATGATGTACCACTCTGTGCCAGAATGAGGGGAATACATATCCTTCATATGTGCCTCGAGTGGCGGTTACCTGTAGATTCACTAGCCACAGGGTAAACCTTAGAGCTATATAGTGACAAATCTGTCTTTTGATAAGTCAAAATCAGAAGGAATGAGCTGGATAATAATGCATATAATAAAATATGCATAATTACTCTGGTTATTCGGTAGCCTTGGATGCCAAGCCCAGTGCAATAATCGATTCTTGGCTAAGGTTATACTTGGACATATTGGCTTCATTCCTAAGTGACAACTTTAGAATGAAAATCAGTTGGCTGAGGACGACTGCAAAGATATAGACACTTCTAAAGTTCATGCTCTGTGTAGTTAGACTACAGAGTACAGTCTATATTTAAGTCACTCTACTCCGGACTCCACCTGTTTCAGCCGGTGCCAAGCCCCCAGGGCTGGGAGTTAACGGATTCCTCAGACCTTGGCAACCGCCTGTCTTTCTCACTTTCTCTCTCAATTTTGTCTCTCTGCTCTGTCTCTCTCTCTGATTCAGTCTTTCGTTACTTCAGATTACCCCCATCCTCCCTATTTCCTGGGGTCATTCTTATACAATCTCGAGTGGACCCTTGAACCCTGAACCCTTTCCCCCCACGATCGCAGACCCTTGAAACTCTATCATCTGATCGCGCTGGGGAACGGTCCCTGCCATGAGGCTCTCCAGCTTCTTGCCCCTGATCGGTGCATTCTCACTCTTTCAACAATCAGCAGGTATGTATTCCCCCACTGACCAAGTAGTGGCCAAGTGGACAGCGCTAACGGTCACTAGCACGATCCCAAGCCTCCGAGGCCATTCGACAAGTGACTCCCGTTGACAATGCCATTATTCGAACACCGTCACATCAAATAGACCACCTGTCACATTTCGATGTCACCTTTCAAATACACGCCGGAAAGCGGATAAAACTAGAACTCGAACCCAATCACGATATTCTAGCGGACGATGCGTATGTGCAATACGTTGCCCCCGATGGAACGTTAACCCACGCCGAGCCCATACAGCGTCATGAGCACAAAGTGTTCCGAGGACGCGCCTTGGAGGGATCGGGCAAGGGAAGGTGGACGCCCGTTGGGTGGGCCAGAATCACCGTCAAGAGAGATGGCGTGGATCCTCTCTTTGAGGGCGCGTTCAGTATCAACGACGACAAGCACCACGTTGAGTTGATGTCCAATTACATCGACAAGAAGCGCCCGATCGATGCCGATGTTCCGCTCAAGCATGGGGAATATATGCTGATTTATCGCGATTCGGACATGTTCCATTACACGCACTCCGAGCTCAAACGGTCGCTGCCGGCGACCACCGGCTGTGGAGCGGATCAGCTCGATTACAATGCCGACCTATCCAACTCGATCTTCCCGTACGGTGTTACCCCGATGGACGACCGGTGGGGAATGACCTCACTGGATTCACTGTTTGGGCTGAGCAAGCGACAGTCTGATGATGGTGGTGTATCGGGTAACACCGGCGGTGTCAATCTAAAGTCGACCATCGGAGACACCAGCGGCTGCCCCAAGACCAAGAAGGTGGCTCTGATTGGAATTGCAACAGATTGTGAGTTTACCGACTCGTTCAAATCCACCAACTCGACGCCAAAGGAAGCCGCCAAGGACTGGGTCATCAACGTGGTGAACACGGCGTCCAGTCTCTACGAAGACTCATTCAACGTGTCCATCGGCCTGCGCAACCTCACTATCTCTGAACCAGGATGCTCCAGCTCCAGCTCCTCCACGCCATGGAACGTGGATTGCAGCAGTGGCAATGTGACTTGGCGTTTGAACGAGTTCTCCAAGTGGCGTGCGAAGAACTCCGATGACAATGCTTACTGGACTCTCATGACAAACTGCCCCACAGATAGTGAGGTTGGTGTATCCTGGATGGGTCGGCTCTGCTCGTCCGATTTGGTCAGCTCAGGGGACAGCTCTGTTACCGGTGCGAATGTGGTCGTTCGAAACTCCGGCTCTTCCTGGCAGGTGTTTGCCCACGAAACTGGGCACACCTTTGGAGCGGTGCATGACTGCACTGAGCAGACTTGCGGACAGAAACTGGACAGTTCTTCTCAATGCTGCCCACTGAGCTCGTCGACCTGTGATGCTGACTCGAAGTACATCATGAACCCATATGCCAGTAACTCCATGACCAAGTTCTCGCCTTGTACCATTGGAAACATCTGTTCTGCTATTGGCAAGAACAGTATCAAATCATCATGTCTCTCGGAAAACAAGGGTGTTGTTACCATCAGTGGCAGTCAGTGCGGCAACGGCATTGTCGAGGCTGGCGAAGACTGCGACTGTGGTGGCGAAGAGGGTTGTAGCGACAACGCCTGTTGTGACGCGTCGACATGCAAGTTCAAGACCGGCTCTGTGTGCGACGATTCCAACGATAGCTGCTGCTCCAAGTGCCAGTTTGCATCCGCCGACACTATCTGCCGCGCTAGCACTGGTACCTGTGACATTGCAGAGAAATGCCCTGGAAACTCTGGTGCTTGTCCAGAAGACAAATATGAAGACGATGGTTCATCCTGCGGTGACAAAGGTCAGGGCCTGAGCTGTGCCAGCGGACAATGTACCAGTCGCAACTACCAGTGCCGAACGGTCGTGGGTTCTCTGCTCAACAGCAATGACACTTGGGCTTGCGAAAACACCCAGGACCCCTCCTGCACCCTTGTTTGCGGCGCGCCTTCCATCGCTCACTCGTACGGCACTACACCTTGCATCCGCATGAACCAGAACTACCTCGACGGTACCCCCTGTGACTCTGGTGGCCGTTGCAGTGCCGGCCAGTGCAAGGGTTCATCTGCGATGGGTTGGATCCGCGACCACAAGAAGCTGGTGATTGGTGTTTGTGTCGGTGGCGGCACTCTGATCCTCCTCGCACTGTTCTTCTGCATCTATAGTCGCTGCCGACGCAGCGCGCAGTTGCGGAAGGCCCGCAAGGCTATGCCCCCTGGCACTTATCGCCGTTATAACGGGCCTCAGCCTACGGCTCGTCCACCGCAAATGCACCAGTGGCATGGATACCCGAATTCTGGGTATCAAAATGTGCCACCCCCAGGTCCGCCACCACGATACTCATGATTTCGCTTCTCGTATCTGATTTTTAAACATTCTAATTTACTTTGTTATGTTTGTATGTTTCCTTGGGAGGTTTTCTCTCCGGACTTTTTGGGTCTTTCGGCGTCCGGATGAAATATGAACATTTCCCTTTCCTTTCTCTATTCGCGAGTTATTATACTCGCCTGTCTGTCCAGTCTTGGAATCTTTCTTTCGGCTGTATTGGTTTTGCATTAAATGTATCATGCGTCGCTCAAAGACTTCGACGCCTCTTGGCTAAGAACAATACCTCATCTCCAGGGCTACCATAGTAAATCCTATAGCAAACATCTAGACTTGTATATAACGGGAAGAATGTCAATTGGAGTGTAATTAGCCCCAGAAAACGACGCAGCCGTACTCCTCAAGCGCATCAAGTAAATAAACAACCAAAAAAAAAAAAAAAACAACACCAACACCCCCCACCCCCCAACACCCAACCCCACGCCACCCTCCCCCCCACACCCCCC